GCAGACCTGCTATGAAGAGATGGGTAGCTTACCGCCAGGCTCACAATTTGTTTGTCCCGACACTGAGTATCATAAAGAAGACATTATTTTATTTTGAAAAGTAAGTAATACGAGTACTGCATTCACAGACTTTTACAAAGTTCCTTGGGTCATCTAGGATTTTACGTTATTTACCCGACCAATATAAAAAAACACCTGTAATAATACAATTTATTAATTAAAGAAACATACTTGAAACTGCAATATAAAACTGCCGATATGGAACTGCTACCGTGGCTGAACAGTTATCATGCTGACTACCACGCAGAGGTCCCGGGTTCGATTCCCGAGCCGGGAGAACTATTTGTATGGCCCACATTTATATCTCTCATGAGTTTGGGTGTAATTTGTGATTTTCTATGCGTGTGTCCATGCACCAAACATGCAAACGGACGTAACTACTGATTTCGTGCTTCGAGTGTCGGGTCCCTGATGGATGTGGTGGAAGAGAAATAGTTGTGTAAGTGAACATCTGTATTCGAGGTTAAAGATTCGCTGACGGAGTATAACCATATAATCACATTATGTTTGGGTTTTAGTATGTAGGAATTTTGATATTGTCATTATTTGTCTTATCATGCCTTTATATATATTTATTTACGTATTAATTATGGTGTATAATAATAGTCTATGTAATATTTAGCAATATTTATATTTTTTAATTTTGAGTTTATTGCTGACGTCGAACTCTACGGGCTTACTGAAAACCAGCGCTGTGGTATGTTACTGCAGCTTATGCTGAGTTAAGTCCCGTGTTGGCATGCCGCTGCAACACAGACCATACCAGACTACCTACTTTGTATGTTTTCTTTAATTTTAATTGTAATTATATGTCAAATAATTATTTGCGTGTAAACTGTTTTTTGTGTGGTTTTGTGTTGTTGTATTGTGGCAATAAAAGTATGTCTATGTATATTCTCTACCTACAACAAGTAGTGTCATCCGTACTCTAGCGACATGATAAAGGAACAGTTATCGATTGTTTATTGTTGTTGATTTCCCGGAATCGAACCTGGTCTAGTCGAAACGTTTGCTTAAATGTGCTGATAACAACTAACTACGTGGTAATAGTGTACTCTTTGATTTTAGCTTCTTGTTGATTTAATGTAAAGGAAAAATACTACTTTTCGCGATTGTTACACATAGGAAATGAAACTATTTTATCGGATTAAAATAGCGTACATTTGTTTTTTTTCAAACAAACCGGGTCCTTTACAGGTCTCGTGGTCAATGGTCAACCGTGATCATGGACCCCGAAACGTTTTGTTTGAATAAACAAATGTACGTGATTTAAATCCGGAAAAATAGTTTCATTTCCTACACAATTTTTTAAATGATTTATTTAAAAAAGAAACTTAATGGATCTTATTGCGAATCATTCTGATTGTTTTCATTTATCCATAATACTTAATTATCCATTTATAAACGAGAGTGTTTCATTCGGTACTTTAAAAAAATTTTCAACTCCTGTTTTATTAATTCCACAATTTTGAGTTACGACAATAATTGTTTTCTTGTGCAATATAATGTACTAGCTGTTGCCCGCGACTTCGTCTGTGTGGAATAAGTACTTCCAGTAGCCTATACTGTGCTGTACTAATTTTCACAATTGTATTGGTTTTCCATACAATTTTTCATCACCTATTTCACTGCCGTTAAGATTTGGTTTTGTAACAAAATGTAGTCTATATCCTTCTCCTATGTCCCATCTATCCATGTTTTTAGTAGCAGTAGAGCTCCTTGAGAAGGAGTTCGTCCAGGCAAGTACTGCCACCTTACCTATTTCTGCCTCCAAGCAGTAATGTTAGCATTACTGCATTCCGGTTTAGAAAGGTAAGGGTGCTGGTGAAATTACAGGCACATGAGACTTGTCAACTTATGTCTCAGAGTGACAGATGCAGTGGCAGTGCTCCTCAGATCTTTACGATTTAAAGCTCTGAGTGGCACTGCAACTGTTATGAACAGGCGTGTAGCTTACCATCAGGTGCGCATGACTTGTTCGTTGCGTCAGTTGATATAATAAAAAAAATCTATACCAAATTTCATTAAATTTGGTTCAGCGGATTAGACGTGAAAACCTAACAGACAGTTACTTTCGCATTTATAATAATAGTATTATTTGGAGAAAGTCTGCACATTGGCAAGGGGTCACGAAACTCATGACATTGAGCCAGGGTAGACCACAACCTTTAAGAACACCTGTGCGTTGCTGTGAAATGGTACAGATATGGACTACTCTCAAGAAATAATCCTCGATGAAAAATACATGGAAGATTTACATTTAAATTCCTCAAAATGAAAGTTAGTGGAGGAAACAGCTCGTTTTTAATTTTGCGCCCGTCTGCGGCGGCATAATGAAATTCCGGCGTCGACTGCTAGTGAAGGGACGCTAAGATGAAATGTTTTTTATATGATTTCAAAATCGAGACTCAGGCGTGTATAAAACGTATTTTATTTACCTAGGCGTTTCGCACGTGCTGAAACGTCCATGGTCGCGAAAGGACTGGGTAAATAAAATACGTTTTATACACGATTAAATCCCAATTATGAAATTAAATAATGTGTGGAAATTGTGAAAATTGAAATTAATGAAATTTTTTTAGTATAAAATTGGACCAAGTTTCATAACAGCGCCAGCGGACTAATACCCAAGGCCTGCCCTAAAAGGACCCTGCCCAGCAATAATACGTGTAGTGGGTTCATGACAAACTAACGAATGAGACGACTGTCATTTGGTTGGACAAATATTAATGAAATTTACGTACTTACAAAATTAAGAGATAAATTTATTTATTTATTAGACGAACACAACAGTCGACATTCAAGAAAGATTTAACAAATAAATTTGCTTTAAACTAGATTTGGACCAGAATGCCATTTATTAAAGTTTCCATATCAGCAAAATAATAATGGTTCTCTCCTTTATAGTCCATTTGTTTAGGTACTTAACCAAATGTAAACAATCTTAAGATGTCTATTTAATGAAATATACATTTATAAAATTATTTTTACTTACCTTCAAATACAAAATACAAATACTTCATATGAAATTGTATGCCTATTTTTATACCTATTAATTTGTAAAGTATATGTTTCAATAAAAAGATTTATCAAGATTGTTTACATTTAGTTAAGTACCTAAACAAATGGACTATAGTAACATTGCAGTTCCGAAGTTTCTGACTGCCTACAAAACCATTTCTATAGTATGATAGTAGAGGCATTAGAGTTATATCAAAAGACTATTTTCCATGAACTTCAATTGGTACTATTTACCGTTACATCAGTATATTAAATACACGACATCAGCATTTCTCTAATATCTACTTTAGTAACAACCCGTACCTACATTTTGTTTCATTCTGAATTTAAGGCGCTTTTCAAGGGATGGTAATGACACTACGTAATGCTTTATATACAGGGCGTCACACGGCTATAGGATGGAGGGGAAGTATTTTAAATATTGTACATTATTTTTCAAAGCAAGGAATATTATATTCAAAGACTTTAAAAAAGATGAAAATGATAAGGTGCTTAGTTAAGTAAGTTAAGTTGCAGTATCTTTACAGGATTTTTGTTGGGGCATGTAATAATTTTCAGCCTTATTCTGAAACATATTATGATTATGACTATAGCTGCCTTACAGCTTCCCGAATCTACCGTTACAAAGAAGTGGAGTTCCTTGTGAGTTCGTCCGGAGAAATACTTCCACCTAAACCTAATTCTGCCGCCAGGCAGTGATGTGAGCATTACTGTGTCCTGGTTTTGAACAGTAAGGCTCAACTCATACTGTCGCAGAGTCAACTACAACGCATGGCGACGCGCGTCGTCGCGCGGATCACAGTGTGGTCGACGTCTGACGCCTCACTGCGCACAAGGAAGGGCGCGTTCCCACTATGTCGTCACGTTTTATTATCGTTGGACGACTGTCGTGTCTAGCCTGTTCCCATATCACGACTATCTGTCGTGGACGATTTTTTATCGTTGAACGACTGTCGTGACTAGCTGTTTCGACTAGATCGTGACGACAATAGGAGCTGCGACAATCTGTCGTCACGTTTTGATCGTGACGTTTTTTTATGTCAGACGACTGTCGTTCTAGCTGTTCCCACTGTGACGACAGTTTGTTGTTGTAACGATAAAAAATCGTTAACGACAGTTAATCGTGTCGTGCTATATGTGAACAACTTCATTTAAATATGCAAGCCAGGACACTGTAAACTGCACGACAATTTGTCATCACGACATAGTGGGAATGCGCATGAACGCGCGGCGACGCGCCAAACCGCTCGACTTTAACCAAGCGTCTACACGCGATTCCATATTTGCTAACACAAATTTGTGCCTCAATGATAGGAAAATAGAGATGCGACGCCATGCGCCAGTGTGAGTTGAGCCTAAGGGTGCTCGTGGAATGCCATGTAAAGCTCTGAGGAGCACTGCGACTATTATGGGTAGGTGTCCCTTGATATCATAAAAAAAACTAAGATCCTAAATTGCAACATCACTATTTTTCCCAGCTGAATTAAAATATTTCGCAAATGTAACGTACATTTTAAATCCAACACTGCTCTATAAGTTTCGAGAGGACGGTTTGCAACCCATTCTATTTAATTTCATAGCCGGCTTTACGGCTCTTGTCCTGAATAGGGGCTAGCCAAATAGGTATTCAGGTTAGCCGTATTTTTATGTTCATTGTCCGAAATTGTTGTGTTGTTGAATTTGTTGGTATTATTATAAATCTAGTGTAAATAATTGTATTTTATGATATTAAGTAACGGGACAAGCAAATTATTCACTTGGCGTGATAAGTGACACGCCTATCCATAACAGTTATAGTGCCATTCCAAACAATTTAATCGCAAAAATCTGCATAGGGAATAAAGTAATCTCTAAAACCGTTCATGAATAAATATGCCAACAATGAAATTTACAATTTGAACTATGTTCGTTTGTTTCAGGACGAGGAGCCCCTGGAGTGTTCGAGGCCGGTCGCCAACATCACCCACCACAGTATCATGTATGCTCCCAAGTGCCTTGTCATCGTCTCCCGTCAGGACTACATAGACACTTTTCGGGTAAATATTTACCAAAACCAACTTACCAATTACTTACCTTAATTCTTCTTAACATACCGAAGGCATACACTATATTATTGCGGGTCAAATCTTGGCGACGTTGACCGCGTCACTAGAAACCGCCATTCTGAATTGTGGGATATCTATGTTTGCCATCGTGGTGAAAGGATTTGCCATCGGTGTAACGTGCTTGCCGATTGTTTATCTGTGTATGTCAAACGTACAAGTCTCATGAATAATAGGTACGGCATTCCGGGGAGACTCCTTATCAACGTACTTATCTTACTTATCTTGGCTTACGACACCAATAGAAGTTACTTTGTTCTCTTCCATCTGCACTATATGTTGCGCAATATTTGCATCTCAAATGGGTATCGGTATGTTTTAGGAATTTGCAAGGTGTCACTCCTGGTTTGATGACAATAATCAGGGGGTCTACTCTCGTTCTCCGTCCGACATCCGTCCGAAACAATTACTGTCAAATAAGTAATGTTCGACCAAATTAAAAGACAAGTATCAAGTATGTAACTTCATTCGCATCACGCGTCTTTTCATTTGGTCAAGTATCATTATTTCATGTATTACGTCAGACGGAGATCGAGAGTAGACCCCCTGCTCCTGCGTCCTGCAGCAAAATGGGAAGACAAAGCTAATAGGAATCTATTTATAATTTTATTTGTACCGTATCTTTAATGTCTGGGGATGTTTTATAATTATGTTAATCCAGGACTTAAACGATCTATTCAGAAACAAACTTTTAAAGAAAAAAACTTTTTGTCGTTATGGCGTAACAACATACATCTCAACATTCGTATGTGTAATATTAGTAGTATTATCACTACTGTATTGTTGACAGAATTGCCTAGGCATCATCTACACTGTGTGGGTAGAGAACCTGGGCGTTCCTCTGGAGACGCTGGTGGGTAATCTCCTGGGCTGCGTGCTGGTTCCACCTGCTGGCGGCCCTCAAGTGCGATTCAGCATCGGTGCGGGCGACCGCCAAGCGCTGCAGCCACCTGCCACACCGCCCTTGCCCGTCACTCACACTGCTGTGCACATGCTGCTCAGGTTGCTTGGTTAGTATACAAACCTAGTATATAGAAGCCTTAATTGCAAATTCAGGTTCACGCAGAGCGTATCGGTTTGAAGCAATGTGGAACAGAAGATTCCGTCCGTAGATACACAGGAAGAAGAATAAGAAGGTTCAATTCGGGCATTCTTAACTATCTATCCCATTTCTGACGCTGCTCATGATGATTTGTCTAAGCAACCATCGTTGAATGATATGATCAATTCTAAAAGCACCCGCAGACTACATACTTATTGACCGATAGCTCAGTCGGGTATTTTATCAGTAAAGATGTATGCAACTGCACGCTTTATAACAATTTGTAGCGGCCGATTAAATTAGTTTTATGGGCTACTCGATTGCCTTCAAACTGATCTGTAAGCAAACTATCGACCAACTGGTAAATTAGTATGGCGCTCTTCCACGCGCGTACATTTGCCGATTCTTTAGTCTGCCGATACATTTAATAGTTTTGATTTCTCTTGTTGATTTTGTTCCTCCGTTACATAAAATCAATAATAACATTTCTGGACACTTTAATTTACGTTACATAATTGATCGGTTCAAGATCAGATTGTCAACCAGCAAAATTTTTCGTGATCAATCGGCCGTGTTTTAGGTTTTGATCCAGTGTGCGCGCTTGCAGCGCAATCCGACTTAACTATCGGCGGATAGAAAGTCTGTACTTTGCGAGGATCCTAATATGACACTTTCGATTTCCAGGTATCCACAATTCGGTAACCTTGTGGTGTGCAGTGATGAGTGAACAGAAAGTGCTAGTTGTGTCGCTAGCGGGTGCCAGACTGGCAGCCGCGTGTCGCGCGCTAGCGGCCCTCATGTTCCCCTTCAGATACGCACATGTGTACATACCGCTACTGCCTGCGGGATTGGCTGAAGTGTTAGCTACGCCGACGCCGTTTCTTATTGGTGTTCACTCGAGTCTAAAGGAAGAAGTATCGGAACTGGTAAGTTAATGATATCGCTGTTAATATCCTTGTCCTAAAAACTTGCTACTAAGATCGAAAACTCGTGGTAATATATGTGTTCTGTATCATGACGGACTGGAGGAGGACTGTACCGTGAGGAGTGGGGGAAGCTACACCGACATTTGATGATCGTGACGGACTATGGCAAAATAACACCCATTGCTCTGTATTCGTATAATCCGCAGATGCTAAGACTTAGGGCCTTTTGAGTTACCCTATTTAATTTGATCATTTTATTACAATTTAACTTTTTTTAAATAGTTCGTATCATATAGATGATTATGTTGGTACGGTTGACCGGGCGATGATAGTCTAATGGGATAACGGTTGTTTCTCAATGGAGAGATCGAAAATTCGAATCCCTGTGACATGTATCAATGGCTTTAATTTCTATTAATAATTCTTTATTGTACAAAGAAAAGACACATAATTTCTAAGTTCAATATATAAATTGTTACGTTTGTAAATTAGTTGGCATAGCGTTTGACATGGTTTGCTAGAAGACGTCGGTTCGTTTCCGGCTGGATCGAAGGAATTTTTTCCAAGTGTTCGATCTTTGTTTTCATAATTATAAGAAACTAGTGGAGTAATTTCACATAAAATAATTGAATATCAATTCAATAAAAAATTAATTACATTTGTAAACGTTTAGTAGCAATAACTGTAGCTAACGGAAGGAAAACATTTGTGATGAGACCTCGACGTCGGAGAGGGTTCACAACCTTTGGAAAGCGTGTATAGTCCCCAACCCGCATTGGCGGATTAATGATTCAAACCCATCAGACCCGCGTCGGGTTGATGAGAAGATGTTGTCGTCGTAGAGCTTGTTTGCACGGGGAGGTGTCCTACTCGTACCACTCGAGCTCCTCCACGAATTTTTTAGCATCCTCTTGGGTTTGCTGGAGAATTCGGAGAGCCAATTCGGCAACGTAATGTTATAGTAGGATATACTTAGCTATTTCCACCTCTTCCGGTTGTTATTATTATATTATTTTATATAATTGTTTATGTGATTTTGCATGTGAAATAAAGCTTGGTTTTTTTGTAATTTATGAACTATTACATTGTTTCCAGCTGGACGTTATAGTAGCAGATTTAGACGTCGGTTCTCTCCATATACCTGCCGGCGTGAACATTCCTCGGCCGGAGGGAAAGCTTCTCTCATCGCTACAAGAGGCATTAGCGTTAGTACTGCAACCGGAGCTAGGGGCTGCGGACTCTGCCTTTGCCCCGCCCCCGCCGCTCTCGTCACCCCCACACATGTTGGATAAGGAAATTAGAGCTGTTTTTATGAGGACCATTGCAAGATTATTACAAGGTTATAGGTAAGATTATTAGTTCTTTTATCATTTTATACTACACTCACACTTTACAGGGCGAATTAGTAGACTGGAGATCTCAGTGTTTTATTCTTTTCTTTATAACGGTTTTCTTTATTTGTTCTGAAATATGCAAGATATTAATTTGTAAGAGAGATCCTTTCAAGTCTTGTCGGTAAAATAAAACCATGCTACGGAGACCCCTTTAAAACTGCGATATAAAAATGCAGCTGTTCCATAATTTTAGTTCATGAAACTGATAGTGTATACACTACGTACGTGTGCTATCTGACATAAGAAATGATATTGCTTGTTTACCGTACTTAATAACATTTTAAAACTATACATTTGCGCGAAAATGCATGGAAAAAAAGCCCATTTATGTACACACTATTCAACCGAGTGACAATACTGACACAATTGTATCTCAACTATTCCAGGCATTGTCTAACAATAATAAGGATACACCCCCAGCCAGTGTTGACCTTCCACAAAGCTGGGTTCCTTGGTGCGAGAGGTCTATCACAGTGTCCGTTCGCGCCAAGACTACTTGAATCAATGTTCTATAATGGCTTCGTAGCGGAACGAGGCCCGCCTTGGCGACCCACTGACATATGGGACGAGTTACTACAGTGAGTATTATCATTAAACATATTACATCTACGTTAGCCATAAAATAGTGTCGAGTCTGTGATTCTAAACTGCGTTGGTTGCTTAAAGTAGGACTCGCACGCGAGATGTCTCTTGATAGACTGATATTTCAATGAAGCAGGACTTCATCCAGTTCAAGTTGACCCTTTACCATAAATTATATAAAATATATTAATACGAGTGGTGGTACTGCCATATATTCACAAAAGCCCGGCTTACCTAACTATCAGGCATGCCAATTTACCACCGACGACATGTTATTATATATTAAAACAAAAAAAAACTCGACGTCTATTTACCAAGGGACCTATTATTTGAAAGTTCGCGCTCTTTGACAAAGAAGCGCGATAAGAGGCTATCTCTTTCTTCTCTAACTCTTTCCAATGTATAGACAACCGATGAGTGGACGAGGTTTCAATATGTATGTACGTTTCGTTATAAGTATGTATAGCAATCGGTATGAATTAATAATTCATATGTGTTTAAATTAAGCCAAGCTTGCACTATGAAGTATTTACCAAGTAACTTTCGCGCATGCGCATTGCTGCAATTAGTCTAACTTCATAGATATTAGTTTAAAGTTTTGTCTGAGCAAGCGAGGTGTCATTTTATTGTTTTCTTTAATTCAATTATCTAAGTGATTTCTGAACTCTTTAATAATGGAGAAAATTGTACATTGTGATAATTTAAGGTGTGTGAAAGCATTAATCGGCGAAGATAAGTAATCTTAATTTGTGTCATTAATATACCCCACGCCTTTTTTCTTGCATTACTAGCAATGGTCAACTTCTTCCTTTAATTTAATTAGCTCAAACAAACCAAACGGCTTTTTTCAAAGCCACTGAAGGTATGCAATTATCGATGTGTGTCAAATTCTGTCTAATAGTAGCGTGCCTTCAGTCTGCTGCTTTGTCTGCTCGTCCGCGACAACGATAAGATGGATTTTACCCTACCTATTTGGCTTACCCTTATCTATACACGCCACTGATTAATACATAATTGCATAAGGTGAAAAGCAATCGGATGCATTGATATTATGTATTTCCAATTCAATGTTTCCACTAATTATTCGTTATACATACAAACGCCTTTGGATGTCCACTGCAGTAAACCTGTCTTGCGTCCATATGTCCTTGAATATTTTCATAGAAGCCCTCTTGTTCTTTTCACTTCGCAGATCAGCCATTTTAAGAATATTCTCAATTTCATCTTGGACCAATAATTCAAATAGGACTGTTCTGATCTCCATACTATAGATCGTAGCTCTGAAAAGGTCAAAATTCCGTCTTATATCCAGATGGCGCTGATCAATAGCCTGGAAGTAGTTTATATTTTGTAAATGGTCGTGGACATCGAGTATTTAACCATAAATAGGGACGAAATGCCATTTAATTTGTTTGAAAAGTATTCTCGGAGCGCAGTTGTCACAGCAATGACATGGCTGTGACAACTGCGCTCCGATTGGCTAACCCGAATTCGAAACAATTGACGGGTGTCGTCGATTGTTTCACTTCAAATCAACCAGTTAACTTGAGCTTTGCTATAATTGACGAAAATTGCAAAATTACATATTTAATTACCGATGAAAATTGTTTCCGTTTGTTTTATACTTAGATGTTTTTCTCCACACATAATAATTATAAATATAGAATATTTTTGGTGTATACGGAGACGTGCACACAGGTCAGTTGTTGGCGCTGTCTATATTTCAGTGCAAACGAGTTTTGATATTTATAAATGATGTTCACTGATGTAACACTGATGAGTTACCAGTTACGAAATAAGGGCCATACCCTTATTTCGTCTCTATTTCTGGTTATATACTCGATGACCGTGGATATCAATTCATTCCTCTTTAGTATGAAATATAAGAAGTCTTTTTAATTCCTTTGTAATATTATTCAAATATTGATCACGAGCTAAAATTATTTTCTGGATTTTGATAAATATGCGTGTCAATAGATGGCGTTGTTACAAACTAATTTATTAAATTAACGGTTCCAGATATGGGTAGGTGGCGCTAATCTTAAACAAAATGAAACGACCCCTCCTACGTAAAGTATCGTATGTCGAAATTGCCATGTTTATTGCGGAGCGTTTTAAAGTTTTGAATTCAATGAAATGAGCATAACAGCCCACGTAGCAGGGCTACGCATGACAGTCGCGACACGCGCGATAAAATCGGAATATGCGCGCGCTATTGGCTGTCTCAATCAGATCTAATTTATATAGCCAATAGCGCGCGCTTATTTAAATTTCATTATACATAATGCCATGCCATGCTACGGGGGCTGGTGATTTTAGCATTTCTTAGCATTATTCGGCGAAGCTCGTTACTCACATACAGTGATCATCTAATAAGATCATCATAGATCATCTAACTGATATCTAGGATTTTATAACACTCTATGTGAGTAACGAGTTTTGCCGAATAAAATTGTGAAATGCTAAAGTCACGTGTTATGGTCATTTCAGTGAAATCAGAACTTTAAAAGGCTCCTCCGTAAACTTGGCAATTTAGACATACGATACTTTACGTAGGAGGGGTCGAAAAGTATAACCGGCACTATTCATAAAAATCTGTGCAATAATCGCCATCTAGTTACAGGGTTTCCCGAGTGTGTGCGTTATTTATTTATTTAGTTAAATTTGTTTGTTATCACTAGAAATTAGAGCAGCTTTGATAAATTGCACCTTGTCAATGTGAAACGAATCAGTGACAAAAATAGGTACTCGTTGCGACATCTGGTGTACCAATAGGTATTAAATACCCGACCACGCTGTGATATTACTTTACACTTATTATCACATTTTTTTAAATAGCTACGCGTTAGGGAAATCCTGTATTGTGGATACCATGGACACACACATAGACAACCACAAATTACAAACTCACGAGAGAAACCAATGTAGGCCATACAAATATTTCTCCCGGCCCGGGAATCGGAACCCGGGACCTATGCGCTGCAGAAGTAGGTACAGTTGCGGCGTCTATTTATATATATGTTTGTGGTTAAGACGACCAGTGGTGTGCAACGCTAGAGCACCCTTAGATTATGCAACTGTGTGTCCGTACAAAGCGCGCGGTGGGCTGGTATGTGTGCACACACATACAAGCCGCGCTGCGACGTTTAATATGGAGTTACCATACTTGTTCTTATTCTACTATGGTAGTAATATACTCTAGACAAGTTGTTAGTTTAATGAATTCCTATTTTGTACCGGAGATTTTTCAAGTTTTTATTTAAGTAGCATTGTTGAATAACGTGTCCAACTAAAGTGTAATATGTATTTTTCTATTTCCAGAAACTTACCAGAACAGTTAAGAATAGAAGCTTTAAACCCAGACCTACAGTTACAACACATACAAGACTTGGCTATGCAGTTACATCTTAATGAAAATCCTAATCCACAAGTGAGTATTGATTTGATATATTTTCCGTAAGAAAAAGTTCACATGTCTCCATTTTTACTTTCTTCAAAAAGCGTTCAGTACCACATAATTGCGATTATGTTAGCAGGATACTTTTTTGCATTTAGCGAATAATATAAATACTTTTAAGAATAAAATAGAATAAATTGCAACGCCGCAACAAAAACGTACATTTTGATTATTTCATTCTCACTATTACAGGCGTATCAACAGAGAATATTACGGCCGCCAGAAGGTGCGTCGCAGCGGATACACCAACCGCCGCTGCCTTTATTAGACGCTACGCGAGTCAGAGAGGTTATTGAAGAAGTCACAGCACGGAATGCCAATAACCCAAAGTAAGTGTGAAATCATACCAAAGCGGAAAGGCAGTTGATATATTCATAACAAGAGAACTTTAGTTGCTATAAGGGCGCCTCCAAATTAAAGACGCTTGTAGGCTTCTACCTGCGCCGCTACTAATTTTCATACAATTTTTAGAAGCGCAGTAGCAGCGCTACTATCTTGACACGCGTGCGCCACTTTTACAGTCACAAAAAGTGAACTAAAAATTATTGAAGCGCCACAGATGCGCGGCTGCCGCGCCACAGTCACGCCATGGTTACCATGCCGGACTGCCACGCAGAGGTCTCAGGTCCGATTTCCGGGCCGGGAGAAATATTTGTATGGCCTAGATTTATTTCCCTCATGAGTTTGGGTGTAATTTGTGGTTGTCTATGTGTCTTCCCATGGCATCCGCGACACAGGGTTTCCCTAGTGCGGGGCTATATGAAAAAAAAGTATGTGGAAATCTTCATCTTATCATATTGATGGCATACACTATAGTGTTTGCCATCGTGGTAAGAGAATTTTGCCAATTGGCGTTACATACTCGCGGATTCTTGCCCAGGTACGCCAGACCTACAAGAAAGGAATGGTCTCCATAGGATAGGATATAGGAAATGGAACTATCTTTTGACTGCGAGTCAGTCATGGGACCTGTAAAGCGTCTGAAATGTTGGTTTGTTTGAAAGAACAAACGTACAAGATTTAGATCCGAAAAAAAAGTTTCATTTTCATAGAGTATTTGCACGAAAATATAAATGTTCTATGTTGCGACCAAGAGAAATTTTGTTTTGGCAGACAATGAGTCTAGTTTACTGCCGATACAGGGGTCTTGTAATCACGAAGTTATGCATTCAATTTTAATGTTTGAATTTCTTTACAGATTGTCAGCGTTGCGGCCGCCACAACCTCGGATAGTACCGCCAGCTGCACCACCCACCGGTGCCACTGAATTTGGACCCTTATTGCTTACCAACTCGGCTAGACGATTAGAGGTAATTTTCATGAAAACGTACAAAGCACTGTATTATCATTTGGTCCGGTGGATCACAATGTGGGTTAAAGATAATATAAATGCTATGTTTCATCATCACAACGTTCATCGATTGTTATTATTGTTGCATCGAAATTGCCGGGCAGGTGCTTCGCGCGTGCGTGGCGGCCATCTTCGAGTGCCGCTACGCGGATGCGCGCAAGTCGTTCCCCGCCGTGCTGCGCGCGCTGCGGGCGCCGGCTGCGCGCGCAGCGCTAGTGCGCGACCTAGCTGCGCGCCTGCCCAACAACAAGCACCTGCTGCAGCACCACCAGTTCGAGCTCGTCACCAGGTCTGTATTCTTCAAGTATGCTTGCTTCAGGGGGTCCACTCTCGATCTTCGTCCGACATCCGTCCGAAACAATTACTGTCAAATAAGTAACATTCGACAAAATTAAAAGACAAGTATCAAGTATGAAGCTTCATTCGCATCACGCGTCTTTTCATTTGATCAAATATTTATTTGGCAGTAATTGTTTCGAAGATCGAGAGTAGACCCAGCTTCAGTTATTGTTGAAAAAATATTATTTGCACCGATGAATGTTATCTCTTGGAACGACTTATTATTTCTATTGCAAAAGGGTAATAAAACTTAATGGTTTTGGCCGGATTCGAGCCGACGTCTTCTAGTAAACCGTACCAGACACTGTAGCAACTAAGCCAGGTTCGAATCCGGCCAGATCGAATTAATGTTTCCTGTGTTCGATCTTTGTATTAATAATTATAACAAGCTAGTAGAATAATTTCACAAAAATTAATTGAATATCAATTCAATTCAAATTTAATTACAGATAAAAGCGACATCTCTAGCCAGGGCCGGTAGCTGTAAAGTTACCTAACTGGGAGACGAAATACTTTCGTAGATTACTCATAAATTGCGCTACGGCTAAAAAGTTGAAAACCAAATACAAAGATCCGACAACAAGCACATAGAAAAATTCGTGAGGTCCGCTGGTTCATTCCGTGGCTTAGTTATTTAACTATTAACCGCTAGATCAGCACATTGATTAAAATTGCAATATAAAATCAAAACGTAACTTGCCATAATACATATTGATGTATTGAACTTTCAACGATATGCCAACATGACAAAGTTTAAATTATGTTAAGCGCCCAGTTACACGAGGAGAAAGTTTTGCGCGCGGCCGCCGCGCGACGACCGCCCAGTTTCCACGTCTTCATGTACATTAATGGCGAATCTGAATTTTACTAGGCAACAACATTTTAATTCCTCTGAATAATACAACCGTGCGGCCCGCCGCGTAGACTAAATTCAAACCAGATTCGCCCGCATGCCCGGGACGCTCATTTAAGTTAAAACGTAAAAGCTTAATAAATAGAGCGTATTTTCCTAGGACAGTTGGACGCACGCGGTCGCTGCGCGGCGGCAACGCGGGCTCCGCCTGGCGACCGCGCGGCGACTGCGCGGGGTAGCGCGATGACATTCGTGTCGAATACATGCGCCCTGATAGTCCAGAATTTGTTATTTCTTTTTAAACTACAACCAACCACTATCAAGATTTCATAGTGTTTTCAATTATGAATATGTGAGTTTTGGCGACATCGGTTCTGATAGTAATCGAGTCTCAAGGCATTTCTTTCAGTGTTTTTTTTCCGTGACAACAAACACGTGAACAAGAAATGTAGTCTCCATCTCTCTTGGACATTTATTTACTTTCATTTTTTTTTAGTCCTGTTGCTTTAACGGCTAATTAACAGATTCAGGCGTTACTTTGCGGATACCCATGCTATCCATTTTATGTATTACTGTCAAACGATGGTAACAGTAGGTATAAATGGTCAACCGTTCTAAACGCCGTCATTAGCTCCTTGCCCACATGGGTGCCTTCAAGGTCGCTACTTAAATTTCGAAATGGGTTAAGAGCTGGCCGTTTTGTCCAGTGGCGCAGTCAAGGCCATCAGAGGCCAGCTGCAAAATATCCTTCGTAAAAAAGAACGAGTTCATTCTTCGGCCGAATGTCGAACAATCAACAACTTCTGAGAACGTAGTGAGGTGAAACACGTGTCGGGTATATTTTTTGGTTGTGATATTTGTGACTGTAGATGCGCTTGTGATATTTAGTTAAGTAGTATTATATTATGATACATCTTTGGTTAGGTAATATTTGCGTTTATCTCTTGATACCATTAAACGTTTTTGTTGTATATTTTGTTTTCTAATGGGACTGACATGCTGAATAATGAGTGTTTGTGAAAAACATGATTTTGTGTAAATTTGCAATTTCAATACTTTACATCACTAAGAAAACTATCACTCGTACGGCATGATGGTCCTTACGACCACTGTCAAACGGCATGATGATATTTACGTCTACTGACAAACCACATGACGGTTTTTGGACCACTGTTAAAGGTCATGACGTTTGCGACTACTGTCAAACTGTATAATGGTGTTTACGACCACCGTAAAACGACATAACGGTGTTTGCGAACCACTATCAAACGTCATGTCGTGTACGACCACTGTCAATCGAAGTCGAAGTCAAATAAGCTTTATATCTTATATAAGCAAATTACACATGAAATGGCGATTATGATTGGTACGACGGTATTTACGATTTGTCAAACATCATGACTGTGTCACGACCACTGAAACGTTCTCAATCGAAACAGATCTAGAAATGAACAAAAATAAACATTAATGAAACAATTATATATTATACCAAACAACTTAATTTATTCATTCCTCCTCCGACTCCGCAGATTCGCTGCACTTGTTGTCGTCAATAAACTCCACAGTGGCGATGATGCAAGCGACCTCCACAGAATCCTTTATCAAGTACGCCACAGCGTCAAACAAACCGTATACGGCCTTGGGCGGTAACTCACAAAAATTGAATATGAATTTCTTTATCTCGTACTGGCCCTGTTGAATTATTGATATCAATTAACAATTGCACAAACGTCAATTAAACATTTAGAGCGCACTTATTCGACACGAATTTCATCGCGTTCACGCCGCGCGGAGTCCGCGTGGCCGCAGTCACTGTCATGGCAAAGTATGCTTTATTTACTTAGCATTTACGTTTTAACTCAAAAGAGCGTCCCGGTCACGCGGGCGAGGCTTGCTTGTCTTTGTCTACACGGCGACCGCACGGTTGTATTATTCCGAGGAATTTAAATGTTGTTGTCCAGTAAATATACTTCAGATTCGCCATTAATGTACGTGAAAGAGTGGTAACTGGGCGGTCGCATTATATCGCCCCTCTTCACTCCAACTGTCGTAACTGACATTTTTGTCATTGAGTATGATCGTAATCTTACGCAGCCAGAGATGGTCAAGCTAATGCATGGGCTTTAACCGGGCGCTTTGTTTAAATCTTGCTAAAACCATTAATTATATTAATATTGACAGTACAAAATATTGCTACATTTATTTTATTGAATGTCATGATGTTACTGGGTAGGATGCCGTTATCGGTGGGCAAACTAGAGGCGACCTGTCAACCCAGTTGCGCCATTAATATTGCATTCGTTCAAAGAAAACAGATTGCTTCATTTAACCGAACTGCGATATACCCACAGAACAATAAATACAGTAGAAGTACTTAGATTACGTGTGCTAAAGAAATTCCACATGTTTGAGCTCAATCCGCCATTTTTGCTTTGTGCGTAATAGCCGTGCCAATCTCGCGCAAAACCTCGAAAATCCTAAAAAAATACCTTATTTTGTTACTATGGAGTGCAAAAATGATCGGTTAAAAAATGGTCGCTTCTATTTTGGAGAACTAAGTAAACTTACTAAAATTAAACTAAGTTCACTTATTGACCGCTAGATATATAGCACATTGATTGAAACTTCAATGTAAAATGAAAACGTCGTAAATTGCAAGAATAAGTATTGAAACTTTCAACGATATACCTTACCATCAGGGTAAAGTTTAAATTATATTAACAGTACAAAATATGTTATTTCTTTTTAAATTAGAAACTATGACCAATCATTATCAAGATTTCATAGTGTTTCAAATTGTGTGAGTTTTGGCGACAGCGGTTCTGTTAGTAATCGAGGCTTAAGGCACTTCCATTGATTTTTCTTCCGTGGAAGTACCAATGGAAAAAACAGCGTTTGTAATTTACGCATAAATGAAACGACAACATAAATAGTATATATTATATATATTTATATTCGTAGACCCAGTTTGGCGCTTAATGGCTAAACGTCGCTTTGACCTTTTTGTTTATATTTGTTCATTGATAATTTTAGTGGCCTAGTGATTAGCGCTGTAGACGCTGGATGAGTAGGTTCCGGGTTCGAAACTTTTCTTAATTATCTGGGTGTTTTGGATGGTGACACTTAATTCTCATAGTACGGGAATTCACTGGTATGAGACCAGGTATTTAATTAATGTTGTTGGGTAGCACTTTATTATTGTTTTTCCCCTCTCTCTACTTGCTGAAGTTTTGTGCACGACTGTAGTTTTATTCATCTTCTTGCATTTGCTAATTATGTTACGTTAATTTCTGTACGTGGAAGTTCGTTATACATATAAATCTTATAAACTTACCTTGGCAATAGGAAAATCACAGTTTTCCATGCCAGCCAACGCGAGTGCATTTTTGAAATTACCTTCAGCGTATTTCTTGATGAGCCGCGGAACGCTCTCATCTACGATCACCTGGTATGGTTTGCAACCTCCATCCACGTGCTTGCACACTTCTATGCGACACTGTATGAAAATTATTAAATAAGTTCTTTGGAATTCCGGAACAGCGCAATACTAACGAACTAAGAATTCTTTAATCGTTTCAACAACATCCTTTCCATTAGAAGGGTGGTCTGAAACACCTACTGATACTTCTGGATTTATTTCGAATATTCCTCAAATATATCGATAACTTTTTAGAATTAAATTACATTATTAATCTGGAAGATGGTTTAAAAATAACTTAGTATTTGTATAGTATTAGAATCGTATAACCATAGTAGATGGTATAACGGCGCAAAAATTGTCACCTGATTATTTTAACCGATGAAAAGTTCGGTGTCTTATTCACATTAAAATTTACAGTGTAATAAAATATCCCCCCTTTTCTTGAAGAGTGGTTAAACTTAATCTTAAACTTAATTATAATTAATTAAAGTTGGACCACTTAAAAGATGTCCAACTTACAATCTCGAAATCGATTCAGTCACACTCGCATTACCCCAAGTATCACCCCACATATTTATATCGAGCCCTAAAAATAACCTAATAATTTTAACTGTATTTTGTTCAGTGTTAAATTTTATATTAAGTTTATTTTTTTATTCCAATAATGATGAATAAAGAATGCCAAGTTGAGTGATATTTTTAGTCATATCACGAACACTGGCGCAGGGAGCGTGCGTTCTTTTTAAGTTTATTTTTTTATTCCAATAATGATGAATAAAGAATGCCAAGTTGAGTGATATTTTTAGTCATATCACGAATACTGGCGCAGAGAGCGTGCGTTCTTTTTAAGTTTATTTTTTTATTCCAATAATGATAAATAAAGAATGCCAAGTTGAGTGATATTTTTAGTCATATCACGAATACTGGCGCAGAGAGCGTGCGTTCTTTTAGGTAATATGACGTCACCATTAACTTTTCCCTTAGACGTATGAACCTAGTAACACAAATCTTCACAAATGTATGAAAAAAATTGACTATGTGAAAACGTTGACTTAAATTATATGGACGTCGGGTCCGGGCTAAAAAGTGTCCGAACTTATAGGGCGTTAAAATTTAGTCTTCGTTTGTTCGACTGACAGCGAAGTAAGCAAAATTAGACAGTACTGCGATGACATTACAATTTAAATTCAACGTTTTAGCTTTTTCATATTCCTTTACATGTCACTACGTTTAAATAGGTTGACTTGGGACATTTTTTTCGTGGTTTTTGTATTAGACCCGTCGTCCATTTATTTGTAAGTCAATGTATGAAAATTAATTATTAATTTTAAATAGATATTGTCAATTTCCAGGATTTCCAACATCAAGAAAATTTAAAAAAAATAACAAATAAGAAAATAAAAAAAAACTTGTATCAAGTTGTCTTAGAGTCTATGCACATGGCGTATTTTATTCGCGCCGATGTCGCACGTTTACGGCGCCGCCTGTACGGCGCAACTCTAAACTTCAACAGGTGATTATTGCGTTTGTATCGATTCGAAAGCGCGTAAAAGGCGATACAAACGCGCGCGAGAAGCGCGTTCGAAGCCCCTCTGCGGCGCGTATACGCGCAGATACGGCAGCGCATTTACGGCGCCACTGAATTTGTGAACCTGTGCAAAGGTGTACTCGCTGCGACTGCATCGTCTTTGCATCGCGTTTACGTGCGTTATCTGCGCTTCGTCGTCGCGTATAAAATACGCCGTGTTGATACAACATGTGGTACTTACAGCGAACGTATCGTCGATATCCTCATCTATAAGCATGTCGATGTTGAAACCGTCACAGGTGCGATTTACCTTTTGCTTTTGAACGTCGAATTGGAACGGAAACACCGCGTTGTCAGGGCACTTTGTTACGCTCTTCACATTCCATACCCCTGGACCCTAAAAAACACAAGATTTTGTTTATTAACGGGTACAATATAGCCTATAATTTGTAGTACTTAAAATACATTAAATAAAAAAATATAAGGCTACCACAGTTTTTCATTACTCGTAATAACAGTGAGTGTATTGTTTATAACTTACTATATCCCCTTGTCCCGATACTATAATCAAAAGGGTGTTGATCAGTAAACAAAACAAAAATGCGCTATACATTGTACGAATCGTTCTCTCGTACAGAAATTTAATATAATGTTGCAGGAGTTTCTGATATATAAGAGAGTATACCGTGACGTGATAAAAGCCCATAACATTTTATCTTTAAATCTCTTTTATTGAAACCATGTTAGTTGGACCAAAATCGTGATGTGATTAGTTAGAAAATAGCACCATAGGTAACGTGCACTATGAATTGATGTAATAATATGTATTGTTGCATGCTATATAATAAAACGACAGTTAATGAGGTGATTGTTACAATTATTCTTCGCTTCCTCTTTATTTAAACAATCTAACAATGGGAAAATTGATTTTACATAGAATTGCAATAAAATGTGTTTAATTTGTTATTGCAATAGTCTTTTTAACATATATCTATGTTGTAACGAAGCGAAAACAAATAAGTCTGAATTTCAGACTAAAGTTTCAAACCTTGTATTTCAAAACCCGTTCAGCATTTTAGAACTGAAAATCCCTTATATTTGGCATTTCAGTCAGAATTTTAAGTACACGTACACTCCCGTGCACACACACAGACGCCCACACGCCCACACTTATACTATACATACATTGGTTTGTTAATCTACAAATGTATTCTCGAACAATTTCATTATCATCTTCGTGGGGTGCTTGGTGATCTATTACATAGATTTTGCCTTGTCCGGCATTATGGCCTGCTTGATATCTACATTACTGTACAAGATACGATATCCTTCTTTGCAGTTATGACCACTTCCAAGACTAACGACTCTTTTGAATGATTCGTAAGCTTTGGTTACTTTCAAAGCAACAATCGGATAGTAATTGGATTTGCTTCATCGACCAACGAATTTATACAGTTTTTATATCTTCTTATTATTTTAATCATAGATTTATTTTATATATTTTTTATAATATTTTACTCTTCTTTATTTTTATTTATATGTGTGCTGTTCATCCCTATCTGAACGACAAATAAGAATATTTAGAATATTATTGAATATTTCTTGTGACTCTGGTACCATCATGATAGTCATAGTTGTAAGTTTAAGTTGTGTATATTGTAGTGATAATTTTGTTGGAGCTACTCGGGACGCATACTATTAATATAGCGAGCATCATCAAAAAGGTAAATTCTGAATAACAGCTCACGCTGAGACTCACCTTTTTACATCTACATGTGTAACTTTACATTATATTTAAGGCTAAATTGTTGTTATTTCAATATAGAAAAACATATATTATTTAAAAGTATATATTATTATTATTATTATTATAAAATGATAAATTTGTTCCAGATTAATGAACTGCGCATTGCAGTCGGCCACGGCAATAGACGAGCATTCGATAGCGGCGGCCATGTTACCCCTCGCCACTGCCTACTGTCGAAAACTGTGCACCGGTGTCATACAGTACGCGTACATGTGTATACAGGTATGGCTACGTTAAGGATGACAATTTAGCTATGAACCCTTGCCAATTATCAATGTACATTGTTATCATTTGAGGATTTAAACGTGGGCTTACATTTATTCGCCTCTAGATGCTATCACGTCTACTATTAAAGCAGTTACCTACAGTAGAAACTGCGTCGCAGATAGCAGAGGAATTTTTAATAGCGATCTCATACATAATAGCCTCATTAAAGTCATATTTATACAATGCCCTGTCACAAGGTATAACATAGCGTATACAAATATTTTACGTGGCCGCCACGTACAATTATCACAATTAACTTGCTGAGGCCTTGTGTACATCAAATTGTAAATAAAATGTGAAGTGATGCAGACCCAGACTTCTTCCTATGACGTAAACGCCTATTGTACATTACAATGAAAATATCGCATTCAAATTTAGCGCTATATATCTTTTTTATTTGTTTCTTATAATACTAAGCGACGGGACGACCAAGTCGTGCACCTGGTGGTAAGCGACACGCCTATCCATAACAGTTGCAGTGCCACTCAGAGCTTTAAATCGCAAAGATCTTAAAGGCAATGCCACTGCGCCCGTCAACGTCAGACATAAGTTGACAAGTCTCCTGTGCCTGTAATTTCACCAGCACCCTTTCCCTTTGCAACCGGAACACAGTAATGTGACTGTTACTGCTTGGCAGTAGAAATAGGTACAGTGGCAGTACTTCCCTAGACGAACTCTTTCACAAGGAGCTCTACTGCTACTAAAATGATAATTTACAAATTATAACACGATAATTTTAAAATACCTACTATGCATTTTTCCAGGTTTAAATCGCGTATATTGTTTTTTCAAACAAACCAAAGTATCGGGCCCTTTACAGATGTCATGAGACCTGTAAAGGGGCCGAAACGTAAGTTTATTTAAAAAAAAAAAAAAAAAAAGCGATTCAAATATGGAAAAATAGTTTCAATTCCTATGTGTAACAATCACAAAAACCTACGAATTCGATACCTACTATAAAAAATTGTGTTTATCATACAAAACAAAAGGCATACTTTCTTGTGCCTGACGCATGTAAGAAATTATATTTAGTGCATTTTAATGTACTTTGGGCGTTGACAGTTTGTCCTCAGTACAGAAAAAAAGTACTTAGGATAAGTCATGATGTAGGTACATATGATTTTTTTTTTATTGTAGTCATACTTGAAGTGCCATTGTTAAATCTGAAACTTGTTGCTTTAGGAGCATCAGGTTTGGACGAGCCAGCAGTTTTGGGAGGCAGCGTTCTATCAGGACGTTCAGAGAGATATTAAGGCTTTGTACCTGCCCAGTCCTGCGCATCACCCGAGAGTACCTAGTCCAAGGTGAATATTTTTTGCGGTTTAGTTTAATATTTGCTTTTTAAAGTGATACTTCTAGAAATTCATCACATTTGATTTTGTAGGGCATAGTGTCCCAAAGTGGTCCCTACCCAATGGGCGCTGAAGCAATTCGGGGGTGTTGATGCAGACTTTTTGAGGATGAAGTAAAATGACAGTTCTGTTCTCAGAGCTAGTGATTGCAGTCGACAAATATTCTATTATCACCGACAGAACGTTGATCACGCTTATGCAATAACTAGCCGAACTGGTATCATTTCAATCATCGCATCATTGGCCTATTATTCGTCCAACTGCGGCACAGGTTCATTTGAATAATAATTTTTGTAAGTTCCAACATACATACACTGTATTTGGGACTGTCTGTTGAAAAAAAAAAAACTAAGATGAGACATATTTTAAAGGTTTTCATTTAAATTCAACGTAGATAATCAAATCCGCCTGTTCTTATTAAAATGTATATGAATAAAAATTAATTTTGGTACTCGTAGGCCAACTGTAAAAAAATAATAAAGAGGGCAATAACGCAACTAGCAATAATTAGAACGTCATCATTCGCGTCGACATTCACAATTCAGACATTTACCGTCTTTCATAATCTATCGATAAAACTGACGACAACAATTACGTGACTATTTACAAGTTCAAAACTGGAGACCCTGCGAATGTAGATTTACTCCGTCTTCAAAAAAGATATATTATAGCATGCACTAAACTAGGTTTAACATTGGTGTTTTTTTGGTCTTGATTGAGTAATAATAATATGCAGGGACATGGATTTGTGTCGTGACGACGAAGAATACATATCGCTGTTAAAAGCCCAGGAGCCGAGCGCTCTTGAAATTGCTGCCGAGCAAATGAGGCTGTGGCCGAGTTTACCACCAGGTTGGTATCTTTGTCTTCATCATCATCATCATCATCCATAGCCCGACTTCGAAATTTAACTTTTGTGCGAAAAAGTAATTTTGAGGTAAAAGAATTGTCGTGCTCGTTTTGAAGGCTAGTTAATTATTATAAGGTACTTACTCACTCATCACGGTCGATTATGCAACATGATATACATGAAGTAAGTAATGGACTACAATAGGGTTGGAGCCGTCTATGTACGACAACATAATTCACAACACAAGAATGCCCAACACAGGAATATCCGACATCTTTATCATCTTTAACCCAAGAAAGTTTTATTTTAAATGAGAAACTCGATGAAATACTTTTTTATCCTAAAATAATTGTGATAATAAATGTATCGTGGAATTTTTGTGAAATTTGAAAATTTCGTAACTCCGTTTTCGGATGACATCCATTTTTACTCAACTCAATATCGGGTTATTAAAGCTTAAAATGGAATTTCTGTACCGTGCCTTTCTATACTGTAGGTATAACCATATATAGATTGTCATATAATTCAAAAGTTCATATTAATTGAGGTACTAGATTTACATATTTGCTTATCTATGTAAGACAGTGTCCACTCATAAGATTCTGGTTGATACGTTATTTCATAACTTTGATGTCATTAACAGAAAAACAACGCGAATTAATAGCATCGGAAGAGTCGACGTTGTACAGTCAGGCGATCCATTACGCCAATAGAATGGTGTACCTTTTGCTGCCGTTAGAGGGCGCTGGACGGCGGGCGGATGCGCGGGGAGGTGACGACGACAGAGCCAGCAACAGTATTACTAATAGGTAATGTGTACACGCATTTGTAATCGTAAATCTCCAGTAGGCTACTTGTTAAGTATCTCTAATAATAAACAAATTCTTTAATTTGTCTATTATTAGAGATACTTAACAAGACGCCTAATTAGTTAGTCTAACAAGTAACATAATTGGAAAGCAGAATTGAAGTTCATTGAAAAATAAGACAGTTACAGGCATTCAGAAATCAGGACTTGGGAAGAAATATAAATACGGTTGGAAATAGGTGTATATGACGTCACACCTATAATATTGTATAGATTATATTATCAGAGATCGAAATTGATTGAGTTAAATAACCTAAAATTTCAGTAACGTAAATACATAATAATGTGAACATTCCCTTCTACAAATCCCAGAACTTATCGGAACTGATTATATTTGAATATGTGTATTACGCATATTAAATTAATGAGATTTGCTACAAATGATTGTCTCAAAAAATAATATTATGATTGTGTTTATAGAGGCGTTCCTGCTCAGTAAAAGATTTTACAAGAGCGCTTTGCACGCATATCTCGCTGTAGAAAGAAGTAACTGATGTCTCTTTCACACAGAACAAAAACAAGACAAGACAACCAATAGAAACCATTGGCGTTGTCAAATATTGGCGGTTCCAATTCTTTGACTATTTGATTTCTTCTTTTGAGAGAAAAAATACTTTATTACAATGTTTATACATACGGACTTAGTATGTATAAACATTGTAATTATTATAATGAATCCATACATATAAATAAAACTGAATATGCCTATATTAATTTTATTTGTCGCCTAATTGCATATGATATTATGAATCCGGGGTATTTTTTTTTTTGGTGATATCACAAAATGGGTATGTCCATACTAAGAAAACATTGAAAGTTTAGGTAACATAACTCCTTTAATTCCGATCACTGTTTATTATATTTATGATAGTTTTGCCAAAAAGATCATCGTCCCACTACTGATTACAGACATTAATTAATATACGAGTATCTGTCTCTTCCGATTCATTTTCAGCGTAGTCATACGGGTTGAAAAAAAAATTAAAAAGTTAAGTACCATATTACAATTGTTGCAAAATTTTAAAGAACTGATTTAAATTATCTTCTCAGCCTTTGTCCGAATGGATGAAGGAGACGGAAACATTTTATTTTTGCAGTGTGGCAGAGTCGGACAGTGCAGACGCGGAGTCAGGTTTCGAAGAAGCGGACCCAGGAGAAGCGGGGAACAATGTAATCAAAATGGTCTCACGATTTGTCGATAAAGTAAGTCCTTTATTACATTTTATTTCTAGATTTCGGGGTTATGGGCTTTTAGACTTATAGCCATTAAAGCAACATTTTTTGATTTATTATTAAAAGATATATTAAAAGCCAGATGACAAGAGTGTTTTAAGCTATAGAGTACAATGCAATCTTCTAACACATCTCTCATTTTCTTCTATCAACATCATTTCAATTATAAATTGTTCATATAAAATTAATATGTGACAAGATCAAGATCTTTAAGACAGAGATTGAATTGTACTATCCATAATAAAACATTAAAATTATTGACAGGTATGCACAGAAGGTGGTGTGACGGCAGACCACGTGAGATGTCTTCATCAGATGATCCCTGGAGTCGTTCATATGCATATGGAGACATTGGATGCCGTTGCTAGAGAGAGTCGGAGATTACCGCCTGTACAGAAGGTAAGATGTTCTTACGTAAAGACAACTTTTAAAAATACGCGTTTCTTTGTTCCCCGCAAATTCCATTATACTTGTCAAAATATTTAGTGGATTCATCTGCTACGTTTAGGTTTTGTTATGCGTCCCACTGATCGACACAGGTCCTCTTCCAGGTGGTCCTGTACTGAGCAAGTTTTTAGAATCAATGTCCACTACATAAACATGTACAGGTCTGAATATTGTTTATTGTATGTCTCCTGTCTAGATGTATATAGGTATTGCAATTTTCTAATTACTTCCAGCCCCGAATAGTGGCGCCTGCGCTAATAGCGGGCGAGGCGATCTCGGTACCTGCTTTGCGAGCGTATCTAGTAGCTGACGGAAGAGAAACTCCTCTTCTGCCTGCAGAGGGCGCTTTATTCCTCACCAATTACAGGGTCGTTTTTAAGGGAGCGCCTACTGATCCCTTCGGTGAGTATTTTTTTTTTTTACTTATTACTTATGTACAAATTAGTTTCGTTAGCTTAATACTGCACTTTAGCCAAAACGTTGCTAGGCAACCAATGATAGCAGGTGTAAAGAACATTTTTGTCAATGCTCATTGTTTAGGCCAGCTCTGCCCATCGCCTGCTCACGTAAATCGAATTAAATATATAAGTAGGTATTTGGACTATGTAGAAGTAATACTTACTTGGTCAATAATTAGAAAAATCGTAAAGTTGATACATACGTAGCTATGAATTATGAATAAAGTGATTAAGTTTTCAATACCTTTCTTTATCTTACCTATTAATACTTTTTTACTTGCTTATCTACCAAGTAATGGTAGATAAAAGGAAACAAAAGTGCAAGATTTTATATTATTAATTGCAGCAACAATTTCCGCTTCTGAATTTGAATTACTACTCGAACTATGTTTGCAATCCTCTCCCTTCAAATAAACAAATACTTAAAGATTACCAGAGAAGGACAAGTGCCCGAGTTTTAATTTTGCTGTTGCCAGGTTGAAATCGGGTTAAAACCCATGAATGCCCAAAATCGAGGACAAAAACGATTTAAATTAAATATTTGTTGTCAATTGAGTTTTGTTCAAACTTAATATAAATCAATAATTTGCCTTTCTATTGAATCGGTGCGCTTGAAAATGCACTTGAATCGATCTTCATAAAATTCGAATCTTAATGTGCATCCTTAGTAGTGGGAATCCACAGGATTGCCTCTTTTTGTCTAAAAACGATTTTTTACATCGTAATTTATAATAAGTATGGAATTATTTCGTATTCGCCGGTTCTGCCCACGATTTTGGGCAGAAATTGATTAAAATTTGTTCGAACCCACTGCCCATCTCTGGAAATGACACGGTGTAAATGTTTAATTGCTTGTAATTGTTGTTGATTTCAATAATTTACTATTGATTTAAAACTTCTTCAAGATTAGTTTTATATATTGCCTAATTGAATATCGGAGAAAAATTGTGATAATTGTGAAACAGTCTTGAGGTGAAAACCCTAACAATCATGTTTCCGTTTGTTCATATTTATTCTAAATCAAATTTGGCTGGAGTATATGCTTGTTATGCATAATCAGTGGCGTCAAAAAGGTTCAACGTACTGTTGTCAATACATAAGGGCAGAATATCAGATTCGATTTCGTTTGTGGGAATTTATTATCGTCAACGTTTTTTACCCTCAGCTACCCAACTGAAATGGTATAGGAAATTGTCTAATTTAATACAAGGTAATTTGTATAACTGGTGCAAGAAAAAAATGTTACAGTTTCATCGATAGTCACTTCTCTATTATTGGAATGTTTTTGTTATTTGTTAGTATAAAGTTAGTACCTCTACTAGGAGTTTACTGTGTCTATAATCGTAAATGTTAGTTATTCGTGTATGCCCTGGAGGCGCTGTACTATTTGCGTTACAAAATATCTGGCGGAGGTGTTGATAATTGTCTGGCTTAACAAATCGTTTAAAAAAAAACCAGTTTTTTTAAAACGATACAATAAGTGCGCATTTGACCTCTGTCTCACCTAATGGAAGGTGAGGATGATGTCGACGATGGAGCATGCACACCTAAGTAATGCCTATGCACTCTCGCCTGTTACCATTACCAATGTTCTATACTCTATTATTTTTATATTAAAAATTATTTATTTGTTGTTTGCGTGTTTTGTTTGTTCGTATTTAAATGTTTAATGAGTAACATTTCTCAAATTATTTTATTGTAATGATGCTAAATTAAAAAAAATAATTGTTTGTAGCGTGTGAGCAAACAGTCGTCCGGTCGTTTCCGCTGGTGTCACTAACCCGCGAGAAAGCCGTCCGTACTCACTACCTACCCCACCTGGAGCAGTCCTTACAAGATGGCTTGCAGCTACGCTCTGCCACGTTCCAGCTAATCAAGGTGACTTTTTTGTGTTCGTTGCTTAACTTACGAGAAAGCTTTGATGGAGATTTTTAAAATAACATATAACGTTTTAAAAAGTATTATCCCTCAGTAGGAAGCCAAATGAACTGCAACCCCAACTAACTTTCATTAACTAAAAAGCGGTTACTGGACATAATCATATTTTTTATATTTTAAAAAGAGCCATAACCCAGTTTTATAATTTATTGAAATTGTTGAATGCTATTTTAGTTATGCATCCTTGCGGTAAGTTCCGATGTGTCCGTTTTTAAATAGACAATTTTGAGGTCTATCTTATACTATTTAAATCGGATATTGATAATTTGTCACTTAACCACGTTTTAGTTTTAATAATAATTATATGTTATATGTTATAGAGCACAATTTTTGCAGAGGCACTGGTGCCTGAACTAGGTTGATACTGTATTTCAGGTCGCTAGGTCTCTACCTCCGTAAAAATCAATAACATTCTACATTTAAGTATAGGCAAAATAATGAATATTGGTCAGACAAAATTTAAAATAAAGACTGATTTACTTAAATAATTATGCTAAAATTATGCAATACATAATCTCAGTACAGAGTACTAAAAAACCGACCTCAAAAGTACGTAGAATTACGTCTATTTGCTAAATTTTATTGAAATATCCCCTAGTCCGCCACTATACAGGACTTGACACTGGAGATAATAATAATCGGTTCTCACTGCTCAAAGTATATTGAGAGAAAAACGCCTTGAATTGGAGAAATAGCAAAATCAACCATTAAAATAATTGCTCCTAAATTAAATTTAGGCGCTATTTATAAAAATGAATCTTCATGCGTGAACAGCCACCGTTAAAGGTGGATGATTTTCTTCCAAATGAAATGGGACCACTATGGAAATACCCCCTTTCCAACAAAAAAAAGAATCATGAAAATCGGTTCACAATTACCGGAGTTATCGCGTATCATACATACAATAAAAAGAACATACAGTCATGTAATGGGTTGACCATTAATATGGTATTAACTAAGACCTGTGTACATTCCAGGTGGCATTGGACGAGGAAGTGAGCAGCGAGCAAGCCGAAGCGTTCCGCAAGCAACTGGCGCGGGTACGGCACCCCGAGCACGTGACGATGCACTTTGCATTAGCGCCGAGGCCAGGACCCAAACCCTCCGCCACTGTCAGCAAACACAACACACTGAAGTTAGTATTCCAACTAGGGATCGATAAAAGTAGCCCGTTCTAAGAGTAACCGCTCTTCACACAGCGACATTTAGCAGCGATGCAAACGCGATGCAGTAGCGATGCAGTCGCTAATCGTCTACATTTACACACGCGCGCGATTTTAATTGCATCGCTACACTTGGGATTTATAGTCGATTTGCATATCGATGCAATCGCCTATAAATCGCAAGTGTAGCGATGCAATCGCACTTTTCACGAACGCCGTGTGTAACCACTCTTAAATGTTGCAGCACAAAATACCTGCCTATAAGGTAGAATTTACAATATACCTGTTATAGGTTTTGGAGCCGATTATCGAAACATAAGGCACTTTAAATTGTTTCCTATCTACACGCGTTTTGTGTTTAATTTTGCATTCTCTGAATCACCTATAACGATTACCTAATTCGACCTTTGACACAAACACTTTTATTGCACTCATGTCTGCAAATTATTTCATCATCTTCTGTGAACTGTTTTCAAATCAGTGCCCGAGTAAATAAGTATAAACTTTTCAGGGGTTTTGCGAAGAAAACGTTGCTGAAAACAGCGCGGCGAGCCGGGCTGAAACCGAAGCCATCTAAGCGACAGAAATATGTGTTGCCGTCAGCGGACGCGAGGTCCTTGACCTCACCGCCACTTATGTCTTCCTTGTCAGCTGATACTTTGTCACGTGAGTAGACCATATTACACCGAGTATATACAGAATATAATAAGGTGTTAACACATTAGGTACGGATAATTTTAAAGTTACCAGTTTACACCAGAATTTAATACTCATCAAAAAGACTACGTGGTTTAAAATATTGAATGTAAAAAAAAAAACCAACCAATCGTGCTCTCATTTTACGGACAAGAAGCTTAATAGGAAATACCATGATATTGATTTTTTTCATTAGTAGTGAACAGAGATGATTGAAAAGATAAGAGTTTTTTAAACACTAATTAATGCGTATTCTTAAATTTTTAATTTCTTACAAAGACTTATCGCGACTATCTTACTTTAAAGTATAATGAGATAAATAATTGGCTCTAAAAGTATACGTAGTAATTGGTTAGCACCCTGTATAAGTGTTTCTGTATACTATCATCGTTAAAACGTGACGTCGTAATAAGTATTGATAACTAATGTTAACAGAGGAGCTTCGGAACGAAAACCGATAATTTTTGATTCTGATTTTGTCCAGTCTCATTGAGATTGAGAGACCAATACAATGTATTGGTCGCATTGTGTTCAGAACCGTGCATTTGAAACGTGTTTTGAAAAAGGATTTAGCGCTTGCTGTTCAGGATGTATAAATTATTCGTAGAAAAAGTACCGTTTAGTATTAAAAAAGATGTACAAGGATTTTGACTTGCTCCTTCGTAATATACCATCGCGTGCCACCGCGCAGTGGAGGAGCTGGAGCTGGCGGGCGCGGAGCCGGCCGAGCCGCCGGCGGCGCGCACGCTGGAGCGCGTGCGCGAGCGCATCTACGCGCGCGACTGGGCACGCCTCGGCCTGGCGCACGCGCCCTTCCGTCTGGCGCACGCCAACGCCGTCTACACTCTCTGCCGGAGGTACCCTATTTTTCGTTTTCTATAGCAGTGCCCCTAGCGGCCACGACAAGAACTAATTTTTTGCTAGCAACTTTACTGTAGAGTTGCAGGTAACAACTATTCGACCATTACAAGCTTATGCACGCACCGGGCACACATTAGCAGAACAAAAATATGAGAATATGAAATCGACCCCTCCTACGCAAAGTATCGTATGTCGAAATTGCCAAGTTTACATTGGAGCGTTTTAAAGTTTTGAATTCACTGAAGTGAGCACAACACGTGACTTCAACATTTCTCAGTTTTATTCGGCAAAGCTCGTTATTCACATAGAATGATCATCTAAGAGGTCATCATAGATAATCTAAGATATCTAGGATTTTCTAAGTACGAGCTTTGCCGAATAAAACTGAGAAATGCTATTCAAGTGTTATGCTCATTTCAGTGAATGCAGAACTTTAAAACGCTCCTCTGTAAACTTGGCAATTTCGACATACGATACTTTACGTAGGAGAGGCCGAAAAACTGACGTTTATATTTAAATAAGTAAATATGAAATAGTGACATTTATATTTAAATATAAGATCTTAATTTTATTGCGTAGGAGGCACAAAGTAACAATGAAATTAACACCTTTTAGCATCGACGTAGCACAGCCTTACTTAACCTTTATTGAAAAAATTCTAAATAAATTAAATGCATTTTTTTTGTGTTTTAACAACGCAGAAACGGCTGAAAAGTTTAGTAAATAAAAATATAATTTCAGCTACAGTTTACGAAATGTTGTATACGAGAATGCATATTAAACGTCGAACGACACGACGAACCTTTTTTACGAAAAAATGACAACAAATATTTTTTACTTCTTACGGAAAACTTAGTTATTTCAGCTGATTCAATTAAACAAATCGATTCATTCAATTAATTAATCGATTTGTAGTTGGCAGTACAGTTGGCCATCACTAAACTGTTTTCTGGTACTATGGATCGGAACAGACTACAGAAAAATAATAGAAAGAATAAAACTATTTCTCTATTAATCTTCCATGTTAGGACATTGTTTATTGACCAGACCGGTAAGAATGGGATCGCAGTAGTGGAGAAACGTTTTATATCGACTATAGTTCCAATTAAATTATTATTGCAGCTACCCGGCCGTGATACCAGTACCTTCGAGCATAGGAGACGAGTCTTTGCGGAGGATATCACGATGTTACCGTCAGGGACGGCTGCCGGTTATCACGTGGAGGCATTCAAGAACACACGCGCTCTTGGCAAGGTATGTTGTTATCATCGTTATAGCACTTCTTTGAACAGTTTAAATATAAATGGATTAATGCCTAACAAATGGGAAAAGTTTAAATATCTTTTTTTTTATATAATACCAAATAACGGGACAAACAAGTCGTGCGCGCCTGGTGGTAAGCGACTCGCCTATCCATAACAATGCAAACCATGTGATGCAAACGCGCGACTGCATCGAAACAAACGCGCGATTGCATCGATACAAACGCTTATAAATCACAAGTGAAGCGATGCAATTGCGCGTATGTGCAAAGGTAGACGATTAGCTACTGCATCTCTTCTGCATCGCGTTTGCATCGCTGCTAAAAGTTGCCGTCTGTAACCGTTTATGGTGGCACTTCACGGACGGTGGAGCGTTTGTCTATACAAGCTGCTAGCAGCTTGCGTGCAATAAACAAAACGTCTAGAATGTTGAACAACACACACACTAAACTTAATTTGTTATGTAGATCCGGAGCGTCCCACCATAAAGGCGTGATGGGCATGCTTAAAGCCAGCCATCAGAATCAGGGTGCTACACAAAGTGGCACTGACGCGCCATCTAGTGTAGAACAGGTAATGTATAGTATATTTTACTCTTCCATATGTATGGTATTTGTGTTTAGAATAACGCGATTACATTACATTTCTTAGATAGAATAAAACTCGAAATAGCTTATAATTTTTTTCACGCACTCGATCTTGCGTATTTGGTACTCATAGAATAGCGACTTTCTTAGTTGGAGACCAGATGATAGAAGTTATTATCTGACATACTAATTAATCGACTGCCTCCGTAGCCAAACGGTTACCACGCTGGTCTGCCACGCAAAGGTTCCGGGTTCGATTCCCAGACTGGGAGAAATATTTGTACGGCCTAGATTTATTTTTCTCGTAAGTTTGGGTGTAATTTACATGTGGTTTGTGATTGTCTATGTGTGTTCATGGCTATACGTGTCACGACTTCATTACTCCACAAAGTCTGCGGATATTGTGGAGTATATAACATACAGGTGAAAGCCAACGCTGCCCTGAAAGTCGAGCGGTTGGAATTCCGCCACAATGTGAATTTTAATTAATTTGTGGTGAGAGTACCAACTCAACATCTGTCGACCTTCATGAAGGAGGGCTTTTGGCCGAAGGATCTAATGTACCGGCGTTTCCGAGTACGGTTACCGGACACCCACGTTGCGTAACATGTCGCAGAACATGCGTATAAATAAATAAATAGTTTCATTATATTATTATGTAAGTTAGTCTATATAAGGTATGTATTTATGGGTCTCATAAATACATACCTATCATAAATAAATAAAATTCATATTTTCATCGGCAACATTTTCCAGGAGCGGTACCTCGCGACGTTGGTAGCATGCACGCCGGCTTCGCGCGGCGAGCTGGAAGACTCGAGTCTAAGCCTGGACTCGCTGCTACTGTGCTGCGACGACCAGCCGACGCACACGCCGCTGCTCACCAAAGCTGCCGGGACTCTCAGGTATGGACATGTTTCTACTGATGTGACCCAAGGTGACACTAGGCAATAAGTACTTGAGACGGTTTTTTTTTACGTATTTATTATTAAATTTCTAAAGAAATCACTCAATATATATTATATATATATCTTGAAGATTTCGACTTCATATCTCATATCTTTTTCCAACAATAATCATTTGAATAATATCTAAAAATGTTAGTCCGAACCCGAAGTCCGTTTCTTTTAATTTTTCAAATGTTGAGTGGATGGTCTAGGTTTGCATATACGAATAAAAAAAACATTCGATTCATTCAATTAAGGTTTTTCTATTGTCTTTTATATTTCAATCACAATCGAACAAGTATTTCAGTGTAAGGATTTGAATTTGAAGGAGGATTTAAAATTGACATTTCGGAAATTTTACATATCGACTGTAAACTGGCAACCGGTGTTACCTCAATTTTGACAACTTTACAGGATGAAGAAAAAACCATTTATGTAGCGTCTGGTTTAATAGATAAAAATAAGTAGTGTACATACATACATGTGTAATAAAAATACTTGACAACTACGTATTTTTATTTAATAAACCAGATAGATAAATGACGCAAATAATTTTTTTCTTCTTGTAAAGTTGTCAAAATTGAGATAGTACCGATTGCCAGTTCACAGATGATATGGACATGCAGACTCAGAGGCAAATATTAATATACTAACTAGGTCTGTAGCTCAGTTCGAAGAGCAGTCAGATCGAAGGAATTTTTCTTTGTGTTTGTTAGGTCTTTGTATCAATAATCATAACATCAAATATGGTTCGAATAGTATTGTTACACACGTGCATCGAAATGCCTGGTTTATCTACAGCGTTCTGGGTCGTGGCAGCGGCGGCAAGGGCGGCGCTGCAGCGAAACACTTCGGCCGTTGGGGTTCGCTTAAGGGGAGACAACCATCGCACCTCGACCTTTACGCGCCCAGACAGAGACTGTCCACTGCCGATCTCGATTCAGGTATACTTATATTTACGCATTTCAAGGTCATTACACACGTATTCAACGTAGGTTGTATATATTATAGAGAGTTCGTATATTAATCTCACGTTTCCACATGAACCTACAACGAGTGCTGTTAGTTTTTAGACGAAAGTGTACTTTAAACAAATTGCGACAAGGTTGATATGTTGCATAAGCCATCTTGGTTCCTAGTGTCGGGTGAAGGGCCCCCGTCGCGCCGTGCGGCGCTGTACGTACTGTCGGAAAAGGGTGGCGGCGGCGGCGCCGGCGTGTCCGGCTGCGAGTACGTGCCCGTGGAATATCCCGACACCAGAGCCACCAAACACGCCTTCAAGAAGCTCATGCGCGCTGCGGTTCCATCCACGCCTGCTGCTCCCGAGGAGCCTGGCTTCCTTAAGTGAGTACATCCGACCTGTGCGGACAGCTACGTCTAGACGTGTTGAAGTTAAGACTTAAAATCACAAAAGTTTAATTCCCGTTCAAAACAACAGTACAGTACTACTAGATGTCACTAGATGGCGTTTGCGGCTGCTCCTTAATACTTAGTTTTTGGTGATAATTTATACGACACGAGCTTTCTTTTGGCACTGACACTTACTGCGGAAACTAGTTTGGTTGCGTAAATAACTGATCCTTTATGCTCGCTATTTTTTTACTATATATTGAAATATTTATTTTCAGACTTATCGAAGAGTCGGGATGGCTTTGGCAGCTGAGACAGCTGTTCCAATTGTCCGGTGCAGTCATTGATCTGCTGGACCTGCAAGGATCTTCGGTGCTGTTGTCGCTTGAAGATGGATGGGATGCCACCGCGCAGGTGAGGTGACAATGTGGTTTCTTAATATGGATGAAGAAAAAGAAATGGCAATGGATTTTTATATCTAAATTAGGTCTTTAACATCTAAGGCACATATATTTGTGGATGTTTACTAGCAATACCTCTCACTAACGATGAATGAAAACATTGCATACTGAAAACGTTTGAAGTTCCCATCCCCCATTGGACTTACGTTGTGGTTATAAATCCTATGTTCAAAGGAGACCGTGCCCTGCAGTGGGTCGTATAATGAATTGTTGATGATAGCTGTAGTTACCGTTGTGTTTGGTTTAAAATTTCAGATCTCATCACTGGCACAAATTTGCTTAGAACCGTATTATCGCACACTGGAAGGATTCCGTATAATCGTGGAAAAGGAATGGCTGGCTTTGGGCCACAAGTTCCAGCAACGGTCCAACATTGGGCCCACGCCGCAGCAGGGTTTCACGCCTACATTTCTTATGTTCTTGGACGCCGTGCATCAGGTATGAGTTATGAACCTTCAATATAATCTTTTTTGATGATTTTGGTTCATTATAATGCGCAGCGGGGGTGCCTAGTAACCGTTCTTGGAAACGTCGGTACTTGACACCCATCGGCCAAAACTCCTCCTTCATGAAAGTTAACAGACGTTCAATTGGTACTTTTCACTTTGAATATTAGTTTCTAGTAGAGCTCCTTGTGAAAGAGTTCGTCCAGGGAAGTAGAGTCACTTTATCCATTTCTGTCGCCAAGCAGTAATGTGAGCATTACTGCCTTCCGGTTTTGAAGGGCAAGGGTGCTGGTGAAATTACAGGCACATGGGACTTGTCAACTCACGTCTCAGTGGTAGTGCCCCTCAGATCTTTGTTATTTAAAGCTGAGTGGCACTGCAACTGTTGCGGACAGGCGTGTCGTTTACCATCAGGCGCCAGACTTGTTCCTCCCGTCACACTAGGTATCATAAAAAAACATTAAATTCAAGTTTTGTCGGGATCCCAACCGTTCGATCCTCATGATAACATTGGCTTTCACTCGTATATATTCGATTATTTTATTTACCTACTGTTCCCTGTTCCAGCTGCAGAAGCAATTCCCCCTGGCCTTCGAGTTCAACGAGTACTACCTGCGGTTCGTAGCGTACCATACGGTGTCCTGCCGCTTCCGCACGTTCCTGTTGGACAGCGAGGCGCAGCGTGCTGACCTGGGCATGACTGCCGCTGATGATAAACGCCAGGATACCTCGCGCATGGTTTGTGTTGCGTACAACTTTCTTTTAACTATAATAACACTTGCGAAATTATAATAAAAAAACTTACTTTAGACATTCTTCGAGAAGTTGTAATGAATGAGACTGGCTTAGATTCGAAAAAATAGTTTAATTTTCAGTGCTATGTGACTTAATTCGAGCAGTACTAGATTTTGAATCAAATACTGTATGCGGAATATGATCCATTAATGAGGTCGTGAAACTTCTTAGGCGGCCTTTGTGCCGTTATTTTTTCTGAGATCTTACGAAGTTTGGTAGTTCGAAAGGTGAGATTCACGTAACCCTGTAGCAATAATAAAAGTGATCCACACGCAAAATAGGCGCCTTGTCGTCGAGTTGCGGACACCAGCCCGTTACACCAAGTACTAAGTACCAATAAAAGTGATTTGCGGTTCAGGGTGTAGAGACTGGTGCGGGGTCAGAAGAAGAGTGCGGTGGTGGGGGGTACGGAGGCTCCGGTGGAAGGGCCCCCGCCTGCGGACTCAGCCTCTTCGACTACATCGACAGGCATCATCAGAAGGCGCCCATCTTTTACAACTTCCTTTACACGCCTGATCTTGATAATCCCGTAAGTAAATTATGTTTTTAAGTTCATTATAATTATTGCTCCAGATAGATTTACGACCTCAAGACCAATTTGGGAAAGTAACTTCCTTAAATTGGTTCCGGTCTGGGTATTCTGGGAAGTGAATTCCGTTACTGTACCAGATCGTTATACAACGAGTACCAGATCTTTGTATAGAGAATCCCTTATTTGGAGTCCAGACAATTAGAGTAGTTGTCTTTAACATTATTAGATAAACAATTTTAGTGTATAAAGATCTTTTCAACTCTAACGATTAGCTTTTAAAAGAGTTAAAAGCTAGTAGTCGACTGAACTTCTCATAATTTCTGGGAATGTCCGTGATTTCTGAATATTTTTGTGTACTATATAAGACCGCACTATCTGTAGTTGCAAAGTTCTTGGAATGAGTTGATTGGAACTAGAAATTCGCATTAGTGCATGAATTAGATTCTTTAAGAAGTTGTTGTCATTCAAGACTTTTGAAAAAAGAAATTCATATTTAACCTCTGTTGGTCAGCGGTTAAAAGGGATCACTTCCGTTTATACCGGGTTGACTGACCAGTGAACATGGAGCGTGTAACCGTTCCGAAATGCGTATATTTATTGCATTTCTACATGGTTTCCTTATATTTAGAATACATTTAAATTGTCCCTTAGACATGTAGCACCCCGATGACGCGTCGCAATATATGAGAGAGCACATACGAATAGTTAATTAATATACATTTCATGCTTACGTCAAATAGTAATAATTAATCTCATACCATAATAATAATTAATCATACCGTGATAAGTAACCTGTAATTAGTGATAATCATTTAGCGAATTACCCCGAAAACAATAAAATATACCAACGTACTTTTTAGTCTGTGTGTCCGATCGCCTTAGACATCCAGATAGTTTATATAATTTCTAGGGTCGGCGGATTAAAGCACATCAGTCAAAAACCAACAGCCTTCATTTAAATTAATACCTACTAAGGGTCAAATAAGTCAAATTTATTTATTCCTTCATACATTTGTAACGTAAATTCTGATGGGGTCTTTTTCAAATATTGCTAAATTAAATGGAAAATAAATCTGCCTTCCACTAACAGCTACGCACAGCTTTATCATGTTATTGAACGTAGCTAACAATTAATTTAACAAATACAATACAATAACATTATGGTTACCTATCAGTAGTCCGAAATGACGTTTTCCAGAAATTACGTTTGGTCGAAATGTCATAACCTCGAAAGTAATTTTGAGAGGAAAATGTATTTTTCTTTTAAACCTAACTTAACCTAATCTAACCGAACCTGATGGTGTCTTTGCGATAAACATTCAACATATCCTGAAAGAACAACTGTTTCGTTATAATTCGGTTTTCGGTGTAATGAAAATTCAAACAACAATAATTCGGTTTTCGGATAACTTTGAAAATATATGTCTAAACTCCTATCCTGTGTGTTAATATCATTAGAGACTCGACACATCCGGAATAAAGGATAATTGTAGGTAACGTTATTAGTACAATATAGCACATGAAAATATTCTTTGTGTACGTTTACTTCCAACCCTGAAAGAGAAGTGCCTCAACAATTCGCACGTGTCCCATTTTGCCCTACTCCTTACTTATGTGCTTTACTTATGCGCTTTTGTCCGACGACCTTAGATTTAGCAATTCTATTTATTTATTAAACCTACTAGGTCCTCCGACCAGTCTCGTCAGTATGCAGTCTCGAAGTATGGGAGTACTACTGCAGCGAGGAATTGTCGCACGGCGCGCCGTACGACTTGGAAGCGTTGCCGCCGACAGAGGCCGACTTGCGTCCGACGCCACGACGACTCGTTACTGCTGGGTATGTATTACTTCACATTTAATCTGACTCTACGCACCTAATTGTATAGATTATTATGTTCAATGTTGTGATGTAAATGATATCACAACACATCGTCTGATAAGCTAGGTCTATTAATTTCGCAAGAATTGTTATATTTTTGACGGGTTGTTACGTTGTTGTGACGTGGGCATACGGGACGAACAAGACTGGTGCGTTTGGTGGTAGCAACACACCTGTCCATAGCAGTTGCAGTGCTATTCCGCCTGTCACCCTGAAATATAATTACACTGGCATCCTTAAGGTGAAACCGCAAGCAACACAGCAGCGGGGAGACGCTGCGTGTTAGCGAAAAGGTGCGGCAAGAAAAATATTATTTCCACTGTTTTTTATGTGGTGCGGTGCGACAGGGTTGCCTCCTGGTGAATATTTCATCGCACTGCGCTGCACTGCGCTGCGCCGCTGCTGTGTCGCCCTAGTGCGGTTTCACTTTTACAGCTTGGCGACGGAAATAGGAAATAATAAATTAAAACTCCTTCACAAGGAACTCTACTGCTACAAATTGTGCAAGTCGTAAAGTAAGTAATAATAAGTAAAGGCAGCAGGCAGAAGTAGGTATAGAATTTTCAAAGTAAGTTAAGAATGAAACAAGCTCTTCAATTCCTCCAGAAGCGCAAACAAGCAATCTAAAGCCTTTATTCGATGTTAAACGGTTTCTGTTACGTTTCGCAGTTATGACAGTATAGCGAGATGTATGCCCGACTCGTTCAGCGGTTTACTAGAGCGGATTCGGCAGCTGGAGCTAGAGCTGGGTCATCTACCGCAGAAGTGGCGCGTGCGCTGGGAACAGCTAGAGCTACCTAACACGCTGGAGTTACAGGTGAGAACTGACTGGCGGCTTCATGTGCTAAAAGTTCCTGCAGAAACGTGCTGTTAGGGAAATTTACATTTGGGCCTCAGAGAATGTTTGAGAGATGAGTTTACAGAAATTAATATTCTTACATTAGTGTTACAGTACTTTATGAAAGTGTCATTTATGTTAAGACTAATCTCAGTACAGAGTACTAAAAAAACCGACCTCAAAAGTTCGTGGAATTACATCTATTTCCCAAGTGCGCGAAACCGGATTCACCCGTAGTTTGTCACCATGAAAGGTGGAATATTTTCTTCAAATTTATATGAGACCAATACTGAGGTACCCTCTTTCCAACAAAAAAGATTCAAAATTGGTTAACAAATTAGTTATCGTGTAACATAAATGCAAAAAAATACAATCGAATTGAGAACTTACTCTTTTTTTTTGAAAATTCTTTACTATTTTATGAAAAATAGTGACAGACAAAATTAATACATGGAATAAAAATAAACTGGCTGCTCTTGACAATCGTCTTCACAAAGTGACAAACTCATTTAAAGGGCCTTGTATACGCTTCTGTAGTAAGGTTCCGGTTGAATTGTTGATTCACGAGATTTAAAATTATAGTGAAACCAAAACTAAAGGTTTACTTTACAGTTACTACGTACTTGGTTGACATAAAATCTGTGGTAGTGACCTACTACGCTCTTGGAGGTTGTCTCGATCTATAATGTTTGAAATAAATATTACAGATGATAAATATGTACAAATGTTTATTTACAAGCCTAGAATTTCTAGCTCATTCTTCTCAGGGGAATCTACCTTATGAACGAGCAAGCCTTACGAATGAGCAGCAGAGGTAATTCAAGTGTGAGTTGCTTATCTATGAATAAAGATTATTGACTTATATATACTAAACTTGGTGTGCCATAGTTTCAGTCGATCTAATTGTACTCTAAGTAATTAATCTCACGGTGCTTGTCCTACCCAGAGAGTGTCGTCGATGTCGTCTGGCGTGGTGCGGCGCGCGACTCTGGCCAGCCACAAGCGCGGCACGCTGGAGGTGCTGGTGCGCGGGCGCCTGGCCGCCGCACCTTCAGCGGCGCCGGCGCACCGCTGGGCGCCCGCCGCCACGGCCGCGCCCGCGCGCTGCGACCACTGCGGGGACCTGCTCTGGGGGCCACTCAAGGTCAGACATCTCCTTGGACACTGAAGAAAAAGCAATGGAAGATCTTTAAGCCTCGATTGCTATCAGAACCGCTGTCGACTCACCGTATAAAATATTTAACACTATGAGATCTAGGTAGTGATTGGTAGTTCATAATTTAAAATGATATAACAAATTCTGTATTGCTAATATAATTAAAAATTTACCCAGTGGACATTTCGTAGACTGTTCAATACTTATTTTGTTTGATATTGGAATTTCATTCAATGAGCTGCCATCTAGCTGCAATAGCTGAAAGATGACGAACGATTAACGCCAATTTACGTTCTTTAAAAAAAAGTCGACCATGTTGCAGCAGTTTACTTGGTATATTACAGGTTTATTTGCGTTTTCTGCGTTTTTGCGTGTTCTGTTGGTACACGTGTCACGCCCACTGACTACTTATATTGTAGTTATTGCTCTGTGTTCTTGGACCACGATATTTATGCTGACGAAAGCGTCTAACCCGGACCGTGCTTGTGCACAGACGGGCGTGCGTTGCGTGGACTGCGGCGCGGCTTGCCACGAACGCTGCGCAGACGCCTACGCGTTGCCGTGCACCAAGTACAAGGCGCCGCCGCCCAACGACCGAGACAAGGACAATCGCCATAACAATAACAACAGTACGTACCCCATTTTGCTATATTTTACAGAAGTAACATAAAAATTTAATATTTTTAAATTACACTTTTTTTTAAACAAGTAAATATCTCGGGTAATGAATAGGGCAACTAATAAAATATTTTTTTTAATAATTATTAATATAAAGATTCATAGATTTCTCATAGATGGCGCTACGACAAAAAGTCGTTAAAAACCAAAAACAAAGATAAGCATGTAGAAAAATTTGTAAGGTCCGCTAGTTCGTTCCACGTTCCATTTGCTTAGTTGGCATAGCATCTAGCACGTTTTGCTGGAAGACGTTGGTTCGAATCCAGCCGTATCTAGGGAATTGTTTTCTTGGTGTCCGATCTTTGTATTAATAATTATTACAAACTTGTGGAGTTATTTTGCAAAAATAATTTAATACTAAGGTGGTCAATAATCGTGTCATTAAATAAAACTTTTCTTTAAGTTACATATTTTTGTGAGTGTAAGCTAAAGGAAAACATTCTGATAAAACTTGCTTTTCTCATACCTAAAGATTTGCTCGATTTTGTGACGATCGACATCGTATTTTTTGTGATCAGACAATATCGTGTAAAAGCGTAGGCACCTACCTAATAAATAAATATATAATGAATGTTTATTCATAGCCATCGACATAGTAGGGCGCAAACTTCCATAATAGTGCTTAATTTAACAGTGACTGATTGTTGACGGAAGAAAGAAGGTTTATAATCATTGGAAAAAATTACCTACCTACCCCCTACCCGCGGTGCACCAGGAGACCCGTGCCGAGCTCTGGGACGTACCATGGATTGATAATGAACAAAATTATGAATCAGTATTTTGTTCTGCAGGCGTTGGTACCCTGCAATCGTCGTCGCAGCAGTACTACGAGCAGTTCTCGTCCAATGTGGCGGAGAACCGCACGCACGAAGGCCACCTCTACAAGCGCGGCGCTCTGCTTAAGGGCTGGAAGCAACGGTACGTATTAAAAGATATAACAATGCATTTTTCCATAGCGTGGAAAAGGTTTTTCAGATTCGAACTTGACGATGCGATGGACCATACTTTTTGGTGATCCATACTTTTTCTTTCGATTTGTCGTACTTTATTTACGTAATACTCTGCCGGACACATAAATCGAGCCATCTTGCATTTTGATTTTTTAAGTGCTAGAATAAAAAAATATTATTATCATTAAAGAAAGAGCGGGAAAACCCGTTTTCGCAAATTCAAATTTTCAACAAAACCTTTTGAAAATGACCTTTAAGTATACCAGTTTCAAATTTGAATTAGTTATTCATCAATCAAACATTATTTAAGCTAAGGACATTTAATACTGACAATGCATCTTATTATGTTGAATATATGTATGTATTAAATAGTATAGTTGGATATGTATATATTTATGTCGTTAATATTATTATTGGACTTAAACTAAAGTGTATATGCGTATGTAGGATTAGCAATTAGTGTTAACATATGTTTTGTATATAGATTTTCATATGTGGAGGTTTTTAATAGGCTTATAAGTTTCCATTCAGTTTATAAATTAATATTAAAGAATGCTGTAAACCTTCCTAAGAATAAATAAATAAACAATAAATAAATAAATAAAATAAATAAATGCAAAGTGGAAGTATTTATAAATCCGTTGGTGTATTATATTCTTATTATTGTTGATATAAAATTAACAACGATAACGAATTTTGTTTATTAAAACTGATTTATTATATTTCAACTGTTTTCTTTCATCTACCATTTTCCTCGCTATTATGAGGTGAAAAGTTGTGTGTTTTCCTCGGCAGCAAAGTTGTTTTGCGTCTCGTGCCTTGAAACGCACCGCTTAGGCTTCTATTTTTCTATCTTAGCTCCCTTCGCTTGCTCAGGTTACAATACAAGCATTCGCGTCAAACAACAACTTTACACTAAACAACAGCCTTGCATAACAAATAACTATTGCTCTTGTATTATTCACAATGTATATCTTTCCGAGGTTCTCACGTGCCGTCATAACAACACTATTATTATAAATTTTATTTACTTTTAGATGCCGAAATCACAAACGTAAATGCTCGCTAGTTGTTTAATGATAAAATAATAATCCCAATAATGGGATGTTAATAATGTAAACAACTCGTCGTTACGCTAAAAAGAAACTAATACAAAAGTTATCTTTTCTGTCACGGTTTCCTGTCATCACCAGATTGGTCATATGCAGTCAAAAGTGTATCCTATTACCGTTCTTCGTGTTAGAAATCGATAAGGTTACTGGATGGAGAAGCATTTTTAAATTACTTAAAATGTTGTGAATAGTTATAGGTTAAGGATCCAATAAACCATGCGATGTGTACATAAGTCGGTAATATATTATTACTGTGTGTTTGTTAACATATTATATTACATTAAATATTTATCTATATGTCATTTGTTAATCGTTTTATAATTTGTATTGCAGATGGTTCGTGCTGGACTCGATCAAGCACCAGCTGCGCTACTACGACGCGATGGAGGACTCGCACTGTAAGGGGTTCATCGACCTGGCCGAGGTGATCACGGTGACACAGGCGCCGCCCGCGCCAGGTCCTCCCAAGAAGTGTGACGATAGATCCTTCTTTGATGTGAGTGCAAAGTTTAACTTTTGGCTATTTATTGCAATAGATCATTCTGTCTGGCACCACATTGATTACTTACTATCACAAATTAGGGTGATCAAGTCATCTCACTGTGCTGTGAATGAGATATAGATTACAAGAACAGGACAGAAGATCTGCGCATATACGAATAAGGTGTAATTAACAACAATTCGTTTATTAAACAGGTTTACTTATGGATGTCTTGGACTTAGAGGCGAAACTGCAGGTCCTGAATGCCGTTGTAAAGTTGCCTACTTGTCGGTATATCACAGAGAGAGTGTGATGGAATTGTACGATTAAATCCGCCGTCCCCTTTTCATCGTCGTTAGTTCAAAGACCATAGTTCCCTAGACCATAGTTCAAAGTGGTCCCTACCGCCCGCTAGTGGGCACTGAAGAGTCTCAGGGCGTAGGGGCATGGGAATCAAATTCAGGCAAGCGTTGGTGTTGTCCAGGGGATGCTACTGCATTTGAAAAATAACCTGAAATATCTATATAAACTACACCATACTAAACATATAATTTTTCCACGTCATTTTTTGTGTTAATTTAATATAAAAAAAATACGTGTTTTCAATTACTTTTTGTGGTGATAGGCGTTGAAATTTTTATCTTGCCTAATTGGGCGGTGAGCCAATTGTGTGGGAAGTGGGAATCTATGGACTAGACGTAGGCTGGGGTTCCGCTCCTATGTGGATATACCAAGGATTCGTACGAAGCGTTACACTTCCACATTTAAATGGCGAACAGCTATGGAGTGGAATTCCCTGCCTACAGACTTATTTCCAGAAAGTTATAACTTGGCCTTTTCAAGGCTAAAGTCAATAGGCATTATTTATCTGTGCTGGTTCCATCGTCGGTCTCGTCGTCACTTTCCATCAGTTGCGATGGAGGTCAAATACGCACTTATTTTTTTTTATAAAAAAATCCTTCGTTAACTCCTAATGAACTTGACACAGAATATATAGGTCGCTTTGCTTCATGAAATTCAATCAATATGTTTTTGTTTAACAGCTGCGCACGAGTCGCCGCACGTACAACTTCTGCGCCAGCGACGCGAACGCCGCGCAGGAATGGATTGAGAAGCTCCAAGCTTGCCTGCAGTAACGTAATTTAGCTTATACATGAAAGTACTCAACACGGTTCCTAAACTCGGTAAAAAGTAAAAAAATCATTTTTAACTTGTCACATATTTCTTGGACTGTTGATTCTTGGAACAGAAATGGTAATTTAATTATGTTGGTATATTATGACGCGTATATGTCTACTGTACTGTATCAAGCCATGTACATCCTACTGATGGGCACGGGTTTCCATTCAGTTACTTAAATCCTGGATGGCTCTATATCTTTTATAATTATATCATTAGATTATTATTTAGATACTTGCTCCCGTAGCTGACAATTTTTGTATGATTTCATACAAATGGAAATTATGGATTTTTTCCATCCGGCCAGTATGGCGGTTATCCCGTGCCCAGCAGAAGGACTTACATCTGTGATATAGGTGTAAGAAATTATCCGTTTAAGATATAAAAAAAACGTTGCACTTTGTTGCATGTACGTTATGTTGTTGAAAGAAATATTAAAATAATTGAATGAAATATTTGGAAAGAAATATTGCACTCAATATTTGTATGAATTTTGTTCAAGTTGTGTTGAACAAAAGAAGAAGGCGCCCTTACACTTGCGTTAGAAATACATCAACAGAATTGAAGTTTGTTTCAAAGAGAAAGCCAAAAATTGAGATTTTTTATACATTATGCCATATTGTACGACTACGTTCTTTCTAGTGTTTAAATATTTAAACAATACCAATAATTTTAATTGGTATCATTGTCTACGTTACGGGTAAAGTTAGAAATATGGGTAATTATATGACTCATAACAACATAACATTGTTTTTTTTTGTAACTGTTAGATCTTTATATTAATCATTATAACAAACTAATGGAGTAATTTCACAAAAAATAATTGAATATCATGGTGGCGAAATATTTTGACATTGAATAAATTTAATCACCCACTGCAAGCCACGAGTTCCTTCTAGTAGTTCATGTAATACTTCCACGGTTTTGCATGGATTCATTCTAGTAAAATGGTTTGAAACGATTTATTTTACCCAGATGGGTAGATTGCACCGCGTATTCGTATCTCGATGATGAGAGTATGTGTACTACAATAAACGAGTCTTTTTAAGTCGTTCGTTTGATCGTATTTTTTAAACACCTAGCGAACGCTTCAATCTTATTATGAATTGCGAGTGTGGCGACGGTTTGCGTCCGTACACAGCCCACGACGAGTATGCATTGCATTCTCTACCTACATCTGTGTGATGGTATTTATGTGTATATATACTTATCCATGAGTCTATATCCGTAATAAGTACATAAACATGACTTTAATGTATAGAATATATTATAATTCCGATCTCGGAGGGTCAGCATTAATGTATTGCAAATATTTACATTATAAGTTCAATTGGGTAATTTTGTTCTATGTTGTAAATATATTTGTTAAAAAGATTTAACCTTTACTCCCCTTTTCACTTCGCGTGAATATACTAAAAAAAGACTAAATCCAAGATTAAATCCATGTTGAGGGTGTTAAAGGTACATCGGCTCAATGTTATATCTTTATGGTGGCAGCGTTAAAAATTACAGTTATGTACATCTTCTACCCGCCAAATGTTAAATGTATATTTATAACATTACCCCACAGAACAAACTTATCCCATTTGACGTTACATTATATCTTAGAATAAATTAGTCTACGTCTAGATTAAATATTTGTTATGTTGGTAATTTGTAAATATTTTTATCTTTCAATTTATTATTGTTGTGTAAAGACGTTTGTTCCATTATAAGTATTGTCGCGTTTTTTTTATATGTAACTAGTGCATTATTTTTTTATATATTTATAATACAAATTGAACGCTGGCAATTTCATTTAGGCCATCGCGTTGTTGCGAGATTTTATGTGACGACTCCATAAATAAACGTTCTTATTGTTGATGTAACAAACTCCAGTCTCTAAGTACTCTTTGTTAAAGAAGTTTTTAAGGCGTTTGTATCTTCCCCCTCCTCTTCTCCTCTCTTAGCTTTTGAAGTACCGCTTCAATAATTTAGGAAAGAAATCGATAATGTCTCATACAGTGAACTACCGAAATGATCATTAAATTTGATGTTTCATATCTGTAAGTCAAAGCTATTCAATGTAACAAACTCCAGTCACGAGATGTTTGATGTGCATCTCCCACCTTCTCCTCCTCGAAAGTTTGGAACAAATGCTGCAGTCATTTAGAAAAAAATATATAGAGTATTATTATACTGCAAATTTAATATTTTATTAACTATAATAGCAAAGCAAAATTGAAGATAGTATGTTAATAAATGCAGCGTTTAATACATAGGACGTTACTGCAGTTTTGGCGTTAGTTAATGATACTTAGAGACTCAGCAAGCACACGGAATCGCATTAAGCAAGACAGAAAAGCTTCATACCCTTGCAATAAGAGCGAAAAACACGTTGAGCGTTTAGCTTTCGCTCGGAATTCGACGCACAGCGTCTTTATCGCTCTTACATAAAGTTTTTTGGCTCTAGCCAATTTTGGTTAATAAGTGAGATGACTCTTACAATGAAAATTATAACGGGCCCTTGTACCAAAGATACTTAATGAACATTTTGAGATTGCATTAATTGCAGTTATTACTTTTAAAAAAAATTGCTCTCATTAGATACAAAATAAAATTGAAACGAAATGTGGTATGTTCGACACGCTCTTGACAAGGTGTTCTACCATTTGTTACATCGTAGTACATCAAATATTTTGTTTTGCAGTAAACTACATGACAAAAACTTAATGAAAAGAATGTTTACTTTGAATATGCTTTGAATTCTGCACTTAGAGCAATGCTGCCGCGATATCGACATAGATCGTGATCCATCTGACAGTGTATCGACAACCTCTCAATTTGAACCGCATTTATCAGATTTTGACAGGTGTATCTCGATGTAATATATCATGTATGCAGTGAGCATCAAAATGATTTCAGCATTATATTATATAGCATACGACTATATTATGTATATTTTTAATAAAAATTAACCTTGCCGTAAGAAATGTAAGGCGCGTTTTTAATAATTTTCAAACAAAAATGAAACTTCCATTCATTGTGATAGATTGATTTTTGTCATATGAGCAGATGTTTTTAGTACGAGGGGCGGCTGAAAGTAATCTCTTTTGACCATTTCTAATTAAAAATAATACCGGCCAATTCGTTGTTTATTCTATTTTAAAAATTAGTGATACTTTTTTGTTTATTACTACTTCCGCCATTTTGTTCATTCCATGCAACATGGACAAAAGGGTGGAAGAAAAAAAAGCAAAACTTTTAAAAGGTAGCTACAACTTGTTTTAATAGACCAGCAAATAATGTAATAAGTGCATTTCCTGTTTTTACATTTTTCTACGTACATTTCAAATTGAAAAAAAAAGCCATTAAGTTTAAAAGTAGCCAGGTTGATTTCAGCAGCCACTCGTAAGTTTGAAGGAACAGACCATTTTGATGCTGACTGTCGTGGCATCTGTGTTATGAAAAACTTGTCGGTAAAGTAAATAAGATTTAAAGTTCCGCAATAACGCGACAGTCGTCTAACTTTTTGACTATTACACATATACCTTGTGATATCGATTCTGCCCTCTCACAACTGCTGTGTAAAGTATGCATAGATGTGCCTTTTTTCGTTACGAGGGCAGTATTATTTACATCCAATTAGGCTAATTTGACAATTTTAAACTAATTACAATCTTGTTTCTAGTTTTTCTTTAAAAGCAACATCTTGATTTTGCATGTGAAAGAGGATCCAGGATTTGGATACAAATGATAAAAAATCATAATTAGTCTATAGGATAACGACTAGAATTCCATGGCATCACATATAATAAAAGTTATATGTTTAAGTATGTAACTTCGTTATTATTTTGTTCTTCGTGTTATTTTATGTCTCATATACTTGTGTTAAAATTCACAAATCGAAAATATATTACTTTATTCGGGAATCTCTTAGGGTCGACGCAGATAGAGCGAAAGTCGCGAATTATCCGACAATTAACTTATCCGACAATTAACTTTCGGCTTACAATGCAAGAACAATATCACTCTCGCATAGCGTCCTTCTCCTAAAGTAACCAGCATGTTGGACATTTTTGGGAGCTACGTATTATTTTAGCACTTCAAGTCGTAAGCTATAGCCACTCGTTCTATCAGTGAGTTATATTCATATATAAAATAAACGTGTCTATTAATTTGTTGTGACAAAAATGTCAGTTACGCCAGTAAGCGAGTAACGGGACGATGTATGTTTGTAGTTTTCAACTGTATTTCAATGTCAGTAAAAACGATAAACTCTCGCCGATAAAACTCGTTCCGATTTAAGCTGTGTCTGCGGTGACCCTTATTTATATTGTTACATACTGATTTTTATTGTAAATATAGTTTACATATCAGTGCAGGGCGCGCATCGTAGCACGTATTGTTTGTAAATATAAATATTTATCGGTCGTGCGACGTATTTTGGTGACACTGAAAAAGAGATGACGTGCCGTGCTGTTTGGAACTAGGATATTATCATCGTTGTGTAAAGGAGATAGATATAGCTGAGAGAATGGACTATGAACTTTATGTGTGGAGAACAAATAGTTAATTGTGACGTGCTGTTTGAGAGCGTGCAATAACAAGACGACAATGCCAGCCACTGTCCAGAACAGTCAGGATCAAAATGGATATTAACGAGCAATTTTGCTGCCGCTTATTCCAGCGTGTCCATTTAAATAAAGTTTTGGGACTAGAACCGACAACTTTTCCTGGATGCAATCAGATCGAAGCCAAGCGCTGTAATTCTCTAGATTAAAAAATGGTAAGCTTATTCCAGGGTTGACAATAAAACGGCATATGCACGGCGGTCCGACTAAATCTAGTTTTTTTCGACTAGAACCGACTAAGTCACAACTTTTATTAGTGCAATTAGATTTAAGCTAGGTGCAGTGGTTATCGAAAATGTGGAATGGTCCCGCTCGATATACAAATTTCAAACGTCGTCGAACCTAGTAAATCTAGTTTTTTTTGGACTAGAACCAAGTAAATGACTACTTTTTACCTGACTAATCGAATTTCTACATTCGACCATGATCACGCTGGAATAAAGGACGCGTAATTTTGTACATGTAGCTATAAATGTCTGCACATCTAGCAATTATAATTTTTACGTCAATAAATTTAAACGTTGAACTAAAAACAAAAAGTTTACGACGTAATGTCGATTTTAGTCTAATAATTTTTTATTTTGCCGCCAGGGGGCGCTAACAGACGATTGATTGATTGATGATGATGATGATGATGATGATGATGATGATGATTACTTGCCCATGCACAAGGCACTTGTCCGCTCTTACCTTTGTCCAGTGTGACCAATTCACGTCGTAATAATTGTATGCTGTGAGGGCATTTAGCGCGCCCGCGCGGGTTTTGAATGTTGGTGTTGTTGCTCGATGTTCTCTGCGTCTCCGCTCTCGCTTGTGTTTTTCGTAAACAAACTTGTACGTGTCGATAGCTAAGATGGCATCAATATTTTGTGGATAATCCCTCGCATCTGTACATGCTGCATTTTTTTTAATACGATTAGCAACTTACTAGGTAGCCTAGCTGTTGTAATGGCTACTTCGTGTACTTGAGCTTTCGTATATTTTTTTTAAATTATTATTATTACATTTAGTGACAGAACGAGTAAGTCGTGTGCCTGATGGCAAACCACACACTTACTGGTAATATCTGACAGCCTTTAGTGATAGCTTTATTTTAATAGTCCTATTTCACAATGCAAACTTTAAACTTACTTTGTTTTTTTCTGTATATTTAAATTAGACACTTGTAGAAGCGTTGGCGTGACGCGACTGTGTCGCAGCAGCTGCACGTAAT